TAAAATAGTAAAAGTAATGCATGCGGAAGTGAGAGAATAGGATTAAGTTAATTAATTTTGCGATAATTATTGCAACAAATTTAAAGCTATCAAATTTGTTTGCTAGTCATAGCTGTAAAATGTAATTGCGCATTATCACTTATGCTTACTCTCATTAGAGTAATTTTTTGTTGTGTTGCTTGGAAACAGCTGATTGTATACAAAAGTATTGTACATACAAATGCTGTTGGTATGCATAAATATTAGTGCTAGTTAGAGTATTCAAAATTTTGATCACTTACACAATTTAAAAAATAATAATTTATTTTTAGTGGTGATAGAAAATAAAATCGATTATTTTTTAATGCTAGAAATACTTATTTATTTATGTATTACTGAACAAAATCATTGCTTCCATTGGTGCAGCAATGAATGACTCACTTTTACTTTTCAATTTTGAATTGTGAAGGAGGCAATGAATGGCACGATAAGAAAGCGCTGCGCTGCGAATGTTATTGAAACTATTTATTACATTTATGAATTATCCAAGCACAATAACAGTATGAATGTCTGAGATAAAAATTTTTTTGTACTATTTTTGAAATGAAAAAATAAATTCCTTTAATTTTACGAGAAGGAATTCTTCTTCACAGCCATCTATTTAACTCTACAAGTTATCATTAATTGTGTGCTATGTGCTTGTAAAATTGACACGTTACTATGTGTGACTGAAAAAAAATCAGCACTGCAAATATTTATTTATTAATTTACCTTTCATATGACTGCAATGCATTTTATCTGTTTCATTTACTGTTTCATCATTCATTACAAGCGTAAACATCAACGTGTTGTATATTTCTTTCTTTTTTGAGACTGAAATATTTGCAAGCTGAGAAGGACGAGTTGCAGCTTGCAAACAATCATTTGCTTCTTATTTGTTGACTTAAATATTTTGCGGAGAAAAAGTATTGCATTAAATCTTCTTATCAATCCATCGAGAATACTTTTGTGTACTTTTTTCGTAAATTTTATAATCATTGCTAGCCTTTTTAACCCACAATAACCAAACCGAACAATTTTCTCATCAACATAATTACAAATGTTTTCTATTTCCACTTAATGAAACATTGTAATGTCTCTATAATCACTTCAAATTTATTAGCATATTTAAAACTTTTTATGATACTTTGAGAACACTTCTTTTTCTATAGCTATTCGTTCATTTTCTGCTTGCAAAACTAATCTTCAACATAAGTATGCTCAAACTGCTTCATCTTCTTCGCATTAAAATAAATTTTCATCAAGTGTTGTTAAGTCTTGTGCTCGGTTCACCTTTACTTCTCTCAATGCTATCAAGCGGAATTTTTGTGCATATAATGAACAATTTCAGTTAGAATATGAATTGGTAATTATTTCACTGATTGATCAGTTTTGTTAATTCAATTTTGTTAGCAAGTATTTTTCTATTATCCACTCTCAAGTTATTGTGGGAATTATTTTTATCCTTCACGTTTCTAACGAAATGATAATATACTTTTAGAGCTGTTACTTTTTAATCATCAAACTTTTCTTCTAATATATTCCATCCAACATTTTTGATTGTTATTGTGATAATATATCAGTGGATGATTAATTAATATGAGTATTAGTGGTTGGTTACTACCGTTGCTATCATTGATAGTACTGAACAAAGAGGTGAAGGTCAATCAACTTATGGATAATCAATCATTATATTATATTCAATTCATCTTTAACTCATCATTTGCATTTGAAATTTGAAGCATGCATTCATTCCTGAGTAGTAAAAAATTCAAAGAATTTTAGTATGTCTGTGCAATAATAGTATGGCTAAGACTACTTTTTGCACTTGTTCATTCAGTTTTTGTAAAAGCAGGAAAATATAAAGTGGATTATTTAATGTGCAACATTACATCTAGCAGTAGCAATAAAATAAATGATTACTTCGAGATGGCAAAAAAGCATTCAAAATAAAGTTGATGAATGGCTTTTAAAAGAATTAGTTATTCATTTTATTCACTTTTACCATAGCAAATAATTTTCAAAGTAAAAATATATTCACTATGCGTTTGATCTGATGGAATGTATCGAGATGAGATAAGTTGCGCTCTTAAAATCTGATATAATACATGAATGGGGAAGTATGCAGTTACTTTATTTGATGTTTTGAATTATTTGAATAACGTTTAATTCATAGTTTCGCTGTTGTGTACTCACTTTGGACTATTTATGTTGTCTCTCGTTAATGCTGCTGGTGTTAAGGTTTTCTTGGTCATTATGCGAAAAAAATTTTGGTAGCAAAAAGTATTAAAAACTAATTTTACACAAATCAAGTATTTTTTTTTTGTTATTTTTTGCAAATTACCGCACAAAATTGTTAAATTGCTCACCTATCAATGTTTACTTTTTGTCCTTTGCAAATTATGAATAATTAAAAGTTACTCTCATTATTGTTAATTTTATTGCCTTTTCGAACGCAATCATTTACTGGATATGACACTTTGAATATTCATCTTACCTTTTACTTTTTAGAGTAATAACTAAAGATGAAATATAATTTTTTTAAATCTGAATACTTGTGCTGTTAAATTGTGATGCATATTTCAAAGTATAAAGGCTTAAAATGATGTGTCCTATCTTTGTATCATTGTTAACAAATTCATTTAATGAAAGAAGGATTTTGAAAATTTATCTCATCTTTCCCAATTCTGTGTGCTAAATTTTGGTAGCAAAAAGTATTAAAAACTAATTTTACACAAATCAAGTATTTTTTTTTGTTATTTTTTGCAAATTACCGCACAAAGTTTGGAAGTGCCCCTTTTTGATTGTGCAGATCTCCGTCAAAACAATATTCATCTACTTTATTCATTCAATATAGTAAGCATTATTGAATTAATTTTTCAATATTGATTTTGCAGGTCTCAAATCATTAAATCGGAAGTTCTGGAATCTCGTTAGTTCTCAGTTAGTCTGTATTTTTAATCCATCTCGACAAGCAAAATGGAACAAAAATCTTGACTCAACTAATTTTCACTGAGAAGAATGTAAGTCCTGATAAATTCTATCTATGTTTGAACTACATGACCCGACTAAGTTTATACACAGCCAATGTGAATAAAAAACGTACTCTGAATATGCAAAGAGCGGACTTTGTGCCATGCTGTAACAGTTTGGAAATGCCCCTTTTTGTTTGTGCAGATCTCCGTCAAAACAATATGCTATTATTTCAAGAATTACTCATTCTCGTAATCCTAATAGCTTTATATTTATGCTGTTATGCTCTTTCACGTACAGGACATTGATTTGAGCACTGTTGACTATGTAATGACTTAGATGCACGTTGTAATGACTGTGTAATGAACCTTAGACCTTTGATTACAGTCTTACTCCTTAATTCACTATACATTTGATGTTTGTTTCCCTCATTAAAGCCATCAGTTTCAAGTCTAGCGGTGGCTGGATACTGAAGTGATATTTGATATGCATCAAATAACAAGCAGTAATTAACATGTAATCCATTACATGATCCAAATGCACATCTCTTGAATACGCTGCATCAATCTATAGACGGTTATTAGAAACGTGGGATAAAGTTCAAAGCTTTAGAAATATAGTGAAAACAGTACTGCTTGAATAAAAGACTATTAAAAACGGTTGATTTGTGAGAGGAGAGGAGAGGTAATATAGGCAGATATGCGTTAGTTCACGTACTAAACCTTGAATTTTCTATCTTTTCAAAAGAAAGACATGCACAGGCGCGGAGAAAATATGCCAAATTGTTTCGTGATAACAAAAAGTATGCATTTCCTGGAATTCGCTCCAAGGTTTGAGTTTAATAGAAGACTGCATTTCTATCAGCTCATGTTATCAGTGCATTGATAATTCCGATGGAATGTTCATTCTTAATTCAACGAGTCCACGTGTTATATACATACTTTTGAGAGCCTTTATTTAAAATCTTTGCGCAGTGCTGCCCTTGCAAATTAATTACGCATGCACGTAAAGATTATTCAGAGAAAAGGGTAAAGGAAGAAGAATACAATCAATTATTCTTTCCTCAACATTGAGTGGATGATGAGTAATATATATCCTATATGTATGTACGTATGCGTGTGTGTCTGTGCGTGTGTGTGTACATGTGGGTATGTCTAAGAACTGCAGCATTCTCACATAAAGCGTGCAAACACAAACAAAGCAGTATTGATGTGACTGTACATCCTAGCACTATGTGGTCTGTTGTGGACTGCCTGTCTGTCTGCACCGCACACACACATCAGTCAAAGATTGCTAAATGCAACTTCAGAATATAATAATTAATTTGTCATCAGAAGTGCATCATATTTCACATGTCACTACGAGATCTCTCCTTCGTTCATCATTGCACTGAGCACTTGTTTATTCTTCACGATAAGTAATGCAAGTATTCTGGTGCTGCACTGTAGTCATTATCAGTAGTAGTCTTGTCAACTTACCATCACCACTGTCGCTTGTGTTCCATCTTAAATTATTTAGCACTTTGCTTTCTCTCACGCATAACAGTATGAAAAGATAATGAATGGATAAGAAGGCATTTATCTGAATTAGATCACTCTGACAAAACCACACTATGCTTTTATTCGAGTTAGATCACTCTGACATACGACTGTATTATTGCTTTGATGTCATAAATGTATCTTCAACATTCTCACAATCCTTTGCTCTTGTCCAGTAGTACTGGTTGATAGGCTGAATATATCTCAACAGCGTAGCGTTTATCATCCGACATGTTTGTCCAGTCACTGCAATGAATAAAATTATGCATACGTTAATTGACATGTTTTACTATTCATCTTTTTTTCTGTATTATTACCAGTTCTTCATAAGATGTAAAAGATGAATTTGATTTAAGATGAATTCATCTATTGTATTTTTTTATCTTTATTTGAAATTGATAATTTTTGTATTCGTTTAGAAAATTTGATACTTGCGACGAATAATTCATTTGATGATTACATTTACCAGAAATGATTGAAATGGAGTACAGTGATGGTGGAAATGCGATGACATTGGCGAATAAGAATCGTGTTGCAAGTAAAAAGATTTTCGAGCAATTACAACAGGTTCGTATTTTGCAATGTGGATGTATATTCAATAGTTCTCTTTTCGTCTACATTTGGTAATGAACTTTATAGAGAGCATATTTTATCTTTTTGGTAGTTTATTTTTTAATAAAAAAGCCATGAACTATTTGTACTCATCTATCTATCTTAAATATATTCATGATTAGCTATATTCATTTATAGAGGAAAATTCAAGCAGTATTTTTGAACACTGTTTTAATTTCACTGATAGCAATACGATGCTTGATTTCTTTTGTAAGCAATAGTTAAGAAAGGAAAGTTCTCCTTATGACTCAGAAATATTTATTTCCATTCAAAAGGACTAAACAAAGTTCTCTGAGAAAAAGTTCAGATGACCTACTTGAGGTATCATCTATTTATTCTTATGTATCCTGCCAGTTCTCTGCAGGTCTGGATGAATGAATTGTAATTAGAAATTAAAAATATAATGTTATGAAGTAATTCGTTGTATTTTCAGTCAACTCGTACTTCAAATCATATTACTTTATCTGACGGCTTCATGTTACATAGGCAACCTTCAGGTGCTCAGAAACGAATACGGCAACGCCAAGAGCAGAAGTAACTTTATTTTGCAATTTATGTGCCATTTCATAAGCAGCACCTTTATGAAGTTTATTAAAAATATAAGATGAGAAAAAGCTTAGCTATAAAATAAGTCATATAATTATAGAAATGGAGTTAGCGAAAGATCTCAGAAAGTCACTTAAGCAAATTATAATTCAGATTTTTTAATTTTCAATTTACGTAATACTCAAAATCTGATCTGGAAAACTTCTTCAAGCAATAGTGGTGTTACTAGTTGAATGGAATTTTGTTTGATATCAACATTCGAAATTTGTTAGGAAGAAGTAAATAGGAAAGTACACTTCCAAGACTGTTTTATTTTTTTGAGATACATCAGATAGCTAGTAATTGGAAATAGTTTATCATTATTCGTGCACATTTGTTGATTGCCATTTAAGTAAAATGAATGCAATTTATGCTTTAAATTCACTGATCATAAACTCTTAATTTATCTAAAACTAGTAAAGAAAATAATAATTAATTTAATCTTTTGCGTTTTCATAGCCTTGCATGATTTAACTTTATTTTCGCTTAGTCATTTTTTTATCGTAGTAAATAATAAAAGTGATATGAATTCTTATCATGATCTCCATTATTTGTCTAACAAGAATAAACAATTCATTTGTTATCTGATATTTCTATTCAGTAACAACGCTGTTTTTATATTTGATATCAAACATATTTTTATATTTACTTTTTGCTATTAAATGTGCATTGCAGGTGGTTAAGAGCTATCTCTATCAATACCGGTTTATCTAATGTCGACCATAATAGAACACCGCCAGTTCCAGAAAAAAATGCTTACAGATCATTGATTGATTCTGGAGGTTACAAATCGATTTTGCCGGAAGAATTACCGCTTGATATTACTTCGTTTTCTCCATTGACAAAGTGATATATTTCTAATTTTGATTATTCATTTCATGCCTGAAAATATTGCATTAGTTTCTAATAACTTTTTTGTTTTGGAATTAAACTGTTTCAATTTCATTATTTAGCAATATTTAGTGGTGTCGATCTTTTTAGTCAACAATAACTCTCTAATTGAGTAGAATTTTCTCAATGCTATGCATGCTCTACACATTAACTTTCTACAGGAGCACATCTGCAATTTCTGACAGCAGTAACAGTCCATCTGTATCAGTTGCAACTTCAACGATAAAAATTGACAACAGCACTGGTAACACTTCACTTATAATTACTGGTAAGTTTATTTTGTTTGTTTTCGCTCCAAAACTTTTTTCCTAGGTCAATATAAATTTAAACTCTTAATAATTAGTGATTTCTTAACTATCTTTGTTTTTATTAGATTTGACTATATTTCTTGCGGAACGCCAGATTTTTTAATCATAATTTAAGGATAAGGAAAGTCATTATTTTTTTATGAATTATTATAATTCTTAATTCAAGTTATAATTCTACATTCGCAACTTCTCTTTTGCATTTTACTCATTAGATCGTTCATTGTGCAAAATAAGTTTAGAAGGATGTATAGTTAAGAACAATAAACTCAATAACCATGATATTTTCCATCCATGCGATTTTCTTGTAGTCGAAATTTGCACTAATGGTTGAGCATATTGAAGACATAAATGATAGAAATTTATAGATTTCAAATATATTAATTCGTTTTTTCAAATCATATAGAGATAAAAAATGGTTTCAAGTTGCCGAAACTTCATAATTTTTCTATATGAAATTAATTTTTGCCCATATTATATGTAAGAGTCATCATTTTATTAATAAAGTTTGGGGAATTTTAAATTATACAGTTTATCTCAATATTGCACGCTCGATTAACTCGTTTTTAGGGGGAAAACCGACAGTCCAAGTTCACCCGATGCCATCAAACATGCCAACCAGCAGTGTTGTTGCTGCGGTTTTAAATTCATCTGCAACTAACAGTATCACTAATATTGTACCGGAAAAGGTTCGGGAAAAACCAGCAGTACCGAAAAAACCAGCAAAATTAATCCTACCTACAACATCAACTGCTATTGAAACGGTCCCAGTGACACCACTTAGTTTGAGCACTTCAAATTTGAATCTTTTTTCATCTTCGGCGCAGTCGTCACCATCAACGAGTAATAGGTTTGCTAATTTCCTTTGGGACTTTATCTATTTATTCATATAACAGTTAAGATCAGTAAACTCTTAGATGTACGTTTATGAGCAGAAAAAAGTGGGATTAAAGTGTGTAATATTATTTTCATAATGTTTTGAGTATAAATCGCAAACTGTTTATCATGAAGTATTCATTATTTGTTTCCTACAAAAAAGTATATTAAGAAATCATTCCATATTTAACACTATAACGGATGGGTTTTTTCTTTTAGAATAATGATATATGCATTAAAATCTAAAAAGCAGATTTGTTGTAACAAAGGTTATTTTAAATAAATTTCATCAATCAAGCTCTTATATTTCAGTTTTCGCTTGTTTTCATCTCCTTCATTTATGTGTCTTCATAATGCACTAATGGAGCCGAGTTTGACAACTGAAGAAGTAGTAAGATTAGAAGCGAAACGCAGAAAAGTAACATTATTTGTTTTTTGCTGCTTATTATTGTCAAATAGATTATTATGTTTTTATTATTATATTTGCAGTTAATCGAATCAATTACTCGTAAAGTGACGATTCTAGACGAAGAACGAAATGCAATTGATGAAGATTTTAATATGAATGAGGCACTTAAAAATGAAGTATTCACCAATTTGATGAGAAGTGGTGATTCGGTTATTTTAGAAAAAATTGAAAAGAACCTTGCTCAAAATTCGCAGTTGTGCAGGTAATTTTATTTTCAGAAGGTTAATTTTTAGTTTAATAAACAAAGTTTCACAAAACTCAAGTTAAATGATAAATTTGAATTCACAATTAAATTAGAACATGAAAGTTGACATAACTTTGATTCTTGGAGTCTTCTTTAGAACCACAAAAGAAGAATGTGCTGATATGTATCGTCAGCATTACTGTTGAATTCATGAAATTTTTTCTGAATCTGGTTTGACCGAGAACAAAAAATTTTGAAGCAGTGTATAACGTCAAACATTTTATAGTACGATACATGAGTGACGCGAAACATTTTATAATACGATCCATACATGAATATCATGTAGTTATAAATTAAATTTGTATTTCTACTAGAACACCGCTAGAAGAATATGAAAAGTTTGTCTGTAGTGATTTCCATGTCTTTAAGAGTATATTATTGCTTTGACCTCCAAAATTTTTCACTTGAAATTAGTTAAAATTAATTGTTGTAGAAAATTAAAAAAGCATCAAGGTTTTTTGTTTATTGAAGACATTCGTAATTTAATTAGGCGTAAATACTAGAAGGGCCTAAAAGCACGTTTAAATTGCATTCCTTACATATTTTAGTATGAATGTTATAATGCCATATGCATTCTTTTCATCCCTTGGTATTTGTTAATTCTTGTTCTAAGGAAGCAGTGCTTTGGGAATGATAATTCATTGAAGCAAATCTTAGTTGTTGTTTTTTTGAATTTACTAGCTTGATTAAAAGAATTTATAATGTCAAAAAAAAGAAAAAAGTGATGAGGTTTCTATTTACGAAGCAGTTTATATTCAGTTATTTATTTCATTGAATTTATTGGTATGCACTACACGCAAGTTATTTTACTGGTGACACTTGTGTGTCTACATTGAAGCAGAAATATCGTTTTCAGAAGAAATCTTTTATCGAATAAGAATAAAGAAGTATGCAAGGCATTAACTTTAAAAATTATTGAGCCATTTTGTCAATACTTCAGACTGATTATTGCGAAGAATTTTTTCTAGACTTGAAACAAGGTTATGTATGCAGTTAGAACGTTTGCAGTCAATTTCTCAGAGCAATGAAAATGCTGATAAAGGGCTCATCAATGCTCGCATCCAGCGCTTGAAACAACAACTAGATGACCAAACAATTTTAAGAAAGGCTTTTGATAGACGTGATGCGGAAGTTGATAAATATGTTACTTCAAGGTTGGATGAAGTACAGGCTTCTCAGTGGAGGTATTTTATAATTTTTTTTCTAATAAAGGTTGCATTTTCACTCAATAATCTGCATTAAATGCTGATAGTTTCGTTGAATTTTATATATACCTGGTATTATATACAAAATGATTAATAATTATCAGAATAAGTATGTAGTGATAAGAATAAAGAACTTTTTAAGAAGTTTTGGTAGCTTTCGTTAATGCGTATTTCATTGGACAGGATTTATAAAGAAACTTGGAGGCGTCTTACAACAGAACGACAAGAAATTGACGAACGACTTTTCCTTGGACGTGAACAGATTAGTGCTTTGCGGAATGTACAGCCACATGTTTAGTTTTCTGTTCTGGATAAATATTTTTTGCTGTATCAGAGCTACTACGGTGTATATGTAGATTCTCGTTGATATTCATGTTTGAGGATTATATTGCCTATTTGGTTTGTATATGAATTCATTTTTTAATTTTCATGTTAATCTTCCATTTTGAAAAATAAGAGTTCTTAATAAATTTGTACTTCACTTGCAGTTCACAAGGCAATTTTATTACGGTGCCAGAGACCAAAATGAAAGCATACTAAATTGGGAAGTTTTGTCAGAAGGCAGCCAAATTGTATTCATGTTGTCTATAACCTCTTGTTCCCATCTGTTTCATGCCTTGAAGTAGTAATCTGTAGAGACTAAGGTGTTCGTATTATTCTTTGAGCATAAAACAGTATTCTGAGGTAGATAGATATTTGTGATCTCGATATTTGTTGAAGATGCATTTGTATTGATGTATCACTTATGTGTGCAGTTTCCATAATCAGTGCATGTACAAAAGATCAGATTTTAAAATTTGATAGTCTGGCAAATTAAGTCTAATGCACTGAATAATGAATATCTATGTAGAATTACAGAAAAGAAAAATGTTGACCAGAATGGTTAAGGACCACAATGCTGCACAGCAAGTAAGAAAAGAGATGCAAGGTTGTCGAACGATATTTTATTTGCCAATTTTTGTTGTCGAAAAAAATTTTTCCTCGCCAGTAATTTCTGCTTTGTGTCATTGTTGGTGGTAATTTTCACTTTGATTACCATAAATATCGAAAAAGGATTGGTAATAAAAATAAAAAGCAAAGAATATTACCAAAAATGGCACCAAGTAAAAAATGCTGGAAAGATTTTCTCAAGAGGATCAATGTAATCAATTTACAGAAAAACGGAAGAACGAAGCTATTGTGGCTGCACACAATCTCTCAGGAGCTGTTGTTAATCATCTCAATTCTTCGTTAGTATAGTCTTTATTTTTGAATATTCGTTCAGTTTTTTATCATTTGAGTGCATGTCTGTAGCCTTGCTTTTCATGTTTAAAAATGTTACATAGTAACATAGTAACATTCTTAAACTTGTGATAAAATTATCTTCGACATTACAATATATATTATGCTCATTTTAGCGTTTCTCAAGCTTATAATAATCAAAAACGACTGGATATGGAAATAAAAAAGTTGGAGAAAAATGCTACAGAACTTGCGCGGCAAACGGAACAGTGGATTCATATCACTGACTCACTGAACCAGTCTTTGAAAGTTAGCTCTAAGCATTGTAGTAGAAAACATTGCTTGTGAAGACAGTTATATGAAAAAGTCGCTCAGTATTTATTTGACTAAATTATCATTAAAAAATGTCATGAACGGAAACACTGCATTTTTTATATTAATGCACTGCAGCTTAATTCAAAATAGTAGCACTCTCTGCTAGCAACATTAAATTCTGGTCACTAGATTTGAAGCAAATTCGCTGAATACAATAAATGTGTTCAAACAAGCGACTCCTTTTTTTCCATCTAGTTTTAATCTAAACTTTTTGTTGTAATATTAGTAGGTAGTGATCGCCTGTATTATTTCTATTAAACAGGAAATTGGAGACGTTGGAAACTGGGCGAAAACAATAGAAACAGACATGAAGATTATCTCAAGCACTTTGCAGAAAGTTTCCCAAGGTAAATTCGTAATATTTCATTTCTTGAGCCATATCTTTGTTTACTGCTTTTCCCTTCTTTAACGTGTACTCAGATACAATCCATTCCCTTACTTGGTTAAATTTCTTATCTTCCAGTTCCACTTTAGTTTTCTCGAAAATTAAATATAACTTGTATTTTTTTTTCAACATTCAACTAAAGCACACTGTAAATGAGCACCTCAAATCTCATTTTTAGTTAATATCATGGAAAAGATGAGTTTTCGCCTAATAACAGCCAGAACGAAATTTTCGTGTCTTGTTGTTGCTCATATAAATTACTATTTTATTAATTTTTATCTGATTTAAACTTTTTACACAACCCCGAGAAGCAGTAAAAAAGTAAATATTACTTTCTCAGAAGAATATGTATGGCTTTTTTTAACTGTAATTTATCACTTCAGCCTAATGAAGATGGTTGCAGACTAAATATAAAGCTAAACAGATAAAATAATTTCTGTAGTAGACGAAGTAGAGTCCATTACTAAGTAAAAATTATTATCAGAAATATGGAGGCATACAATAATAATTGAAAAATAATGCGAAAAGCTCTGCCATCAAAGATAGACTTTTGTGTGTCAACCTAACACTCCTATTACAATTTCAACATAATCTATGCTCAACTTCCATACTTTTTACGGACAATTTGTAATAAATGCCTTTCTCCTTTATGATTCAATGATGATAGACTATACAGTAAAAACAAGCAAATTTCAGAGAAGCAATCGTAACTTATCCATTTCGATCGTAAGCCGGTCAATCTCTTTTAAAATGGCATCTTTTCGAGCAATTTTTTCCAGTTGCGTCTTTTCCGGATTTTCCAGTTCTTTACTTTCAATTTTGTTCTACAATTTATCTTCCTATGCATATGATGTAATAATAAGACAAAAAAATATTCAAATTATTCAAATGCATGGAAATAGGGGTTGAAAGTACTGAATAGAGATAGCGAAAAAAGTAATCGTATTTGATATTCAGCTGGAATTGAGAAAGGTCAGTAGGATCATTTTAAGGAATTGAAATATATAGGTTACTTGTAAAATCTCTATATCTCGTAATTTTCTGTTTAAATTGCTGATCCTCTTACTGATGTGTTCGATAGGAGTAATTGGAGCGTTTGGTTTTAATGCCGCTGCAGTTGGAAGTTTTTGAGTTGGCTCTTTCAATTCCTAAAAAAATTGCTTTTCTAGCGAGATAACTGAGACATATGATGGATAATAATAGAGAGTTTATATTCATTCATGTAATGAGAGGTGATTCTATTATTTAATTATTGCCCATGTACTGCATGTGAAATCATTTTTTACTTTACATGACAATCATTGCTTGAAAATGATTTTTTTAGTACATAATTTTTTTCCAAGTGAGCATTTCGAAACATTAGGAAACCATTAATGCAATCATAAATGTTTCCGTTCGTAAATGTTAAAACTTAGATTTGATAGAGGTTAGAAATTAAAGTCGTCTTCCCTGAATATATGTAGTTTTCTTTTCATGATTTCGATTTTTTTTTTAAATATGGGAAACTAACTTTTTTAGACTTAACTACCTCGCTGGGTGACCAACCAGCAGGGTATACGGTCTTGCTGTTCATTTGTTGACCACGAGATTCAAACTTCGGTTGTTCTTCTTGTGGTATATAACCATCCTTTACTTTTCTTGCCTTTCTCCAGGTGCCATCGGCGCGCTGAGAAGCTACTATGAATGTCTCACCTAAATTACGACTTTTTAGAGAATTACTATATTATGTGCTCTCTCTGTGATGAAAAGATTGGAATCTCATAGTAAAAAAAACGTCAAATTTATGAAAATGAATTATAAGTGACCATTCTTCCGACCATTGACAGTAAGGTTTTAAATGTGATAAAAACCACAATTACTTTTTAAATAATGAAATAAACAGTTCAAATGATGACCACACCAATACTTACTGACAAATATTTATGATGTACCGCACAGTCAGTAGCTGCTAATAACTTCTACAAAATTACTCATATTTCTATGTTAAGCGCTGAAGGTAACTTTAGTATATGATATTATATATTTAAAATATAATAAGAACTCACCTGTTTTGGTTTTTACACGAACGTCACCAACAAAATCCTTTGCTAACATAACAGTACAAATCTGCTCTCCTGCGATCGAAATGACAACACTGCACTTAAAATGATAAGAATTTAAGAAAGAACTGACGTACTGAGACAACACTACCATAGCGATATTACTTTTCAAATGTGTCTAAGAACATTGAAAAGCACTTGCATAGCTTTGTTTAATTTACTCCTTTGTAAGTTTCAGACTATTAATCTTCATGTCTATTCATCTCCATATTCTGATTACTAGTGAAATATATCTCGCCATAAATCATGAACCAAACATTGAAAAATTGACAGGATAGTGTTTATCCAAATAAAACTTGACTGTAAAGATGATGAACAGTGATAATCATTTTACATGAATAAATTTAAACTTTCATTTCCTAAAAAAGAATTACACTACAGCGAAAACAAAAAAGCAAACCAGTTTAAAAAAGACTTCGCGCCCTAAAGATTAAGAAATGTATTGCACAAGAGAAGAAACAACCATTTCAAAAATCACAAGCCTTCAAATAAAAGCAATCACTTTGTTCCACTCATAAAAAAAGTCAATTATTGAAAAAAGAACTACCTTTATCTTTTACTAATTATTATAGTAAAAAATTTTTTGACAGGGGATTTCCAATCAACTGATTAGACAGTGTTCTCAATCGTTCCAACACCTTATGGATAGATTTCAAGAAGCTATTTCCAATACAGTACAGTAGTAAACTAACAAAATCTTTGCCTTCAGAAGATATGAAGTAACAACAGAGAAACGATAGCAAAAATGAAATATGAACGATTAAAAGGTAGACATAAAAGTTGTTCCTACAATAATATGTTAAATGAAATTTATGAGTTTTGAAATACAACAAAAAATGAAAGCAAAAGAGTTTCTCGATTATATGTTACTCGCAATGACCAAATGCTACACACAAACGAGTTACAGAAAGTACTAATATTCTTTTATAAGACTGCCAAAAATTCAATTTCCACTGAAAAACAGATGAGCAGAAGTAAACACTGACACGCTTAAGAGTATGTATAAATGATGCAGTTGACAAAATTAACATTTCCTTGCAAAGGAATGACATAGTATAGATAAAAATTGTGAAATGAAATTCAGAAGGCTAGCAATAACACGTGCAAACTGATTCTAGAGCTGACTGCAAAGAACAGAATGAATAAATAGCAACTGAAATCAGAAACAACCGATAGATTACACAGATACTATCTGAAGAAGTAAAACAAGAAATATACCGTGCTAAAAAGATGCCCAAAATCACAAAAACTTAGTTAGTTTGAATCATCATTAAAAGTTGCAATGACTGCTGTCAGACTTCTTTTACAAATAAAAGCTTAATAACAACATAAACAAGGTGCAAAAGATATCTCTTTGTTAGCGTAAAATATCAGGATTAATTGTATCAGATCGATCTCCTCTGCAATGAGGGCAGTACCATCTACCTCTTGGTTTTTGTCTTATTTGAACGCAAGGAAAATGAAACCATTCTTTACATAGTTTGTTGTCACAGAGAATCATATCACCAAATGAGGCCTGAAGACCAAAAAATGTAATTATTAATCACTGATTTCTATTAAACAAACAATAAAAGTTATAAATAAAAGTGAGATATTTAGAATTACCTGCCGACATAAGCAGTATATTTCAAGATCTTCTTTATTTTTGGCTTCTGTCCCTACTGCAGCAGAGTTTGATTGGCGAGTTTTTCTCGGCAAACGTGGTCTTCCTGCTCCACGCTTCTTTTGTGATGCTCGCCCTTCATTTGTCTCTGTCGCCTTCACTTTCTTTCGACGTCCAGAAGTAGTCTAAAACTCAATAAAAAGTGAAATCTATTTTTAAATGTTCAACATGATTCATCAAATGTTTCAAGTTCTGAAACTGAAACACAAATCCTTAAAAACATGAGTCAATTAAATTCATTGCTCTATATTCATGAAAATATTAGAACTTTGCACTGCTAGAATTGTTCATTAAATGTAACTTATGTGAAGGATATTTTCAACACAGTGACGACAGGGACCACAACCCGACCAAAGACTAGAGACTGAGTCGAAAAAGATTTGACAATGGTTCCATGATCTTCTTCAGTAATACTTAAATATTCCAAATAGTAGTGCGCAATTCCAAATAGTAGTGCGCAACTGTAATATACACCAGTAGTTCTCTTTTTCACATGCAAAAATGCAAGGGATAGAGATCTGATAACTAAGCTATGAATCTGACAGAACAAGTATTTACCTGTTCTGGTAATAACGGGGAAGACGGCGCATCCTTCGATTTCGCTTTCAGAATTGACTGCGACCTGGTTTCTCTTTCCACTCGTCGTGGATTTTCCTTTGTTACTGGAGCCTGATGTTTCGTTTGAGATTCTTTTACTGGCACATCAGGTTCTGAACAAGACTTGAAATAGTTAAAGATGAGATATAACTAACGATGTTTTTATGACTTCAAACTACAAATGGAAATCCCATTAATGGATAGTCATCTATGATCCTTCAAATTAAACAAATATAATAAATTCACTTATTCTTTCCAGAAAAATCAAATAGAGAAAGTTATTTGTAGAAATCATAATTCGTTAAAAAGATCAATTTAGATACTCATTAAAAGCTAAATTTATAAATTCCCCATGAAGCCCGTTTTTATTTTATAAATATAGATATGAAAGCTCAAGCAAAAAATGTTGTTGTCATGGAAACAAAAGTAATCATTACGTAAGCCGTGAAGGGTTGGTTTCAAATGAAGAACTTTAACGTAAAGAGGTATAAAATTAAATTCAAAAAAAAAAAGGAAATAGAGCTTTTGTTTTCTAAAAATGTTGATCCTTAAAAACATGATGTTCTGAGTATTCTTTTGAGCATTTCCACCTAAAGTTACCAAACGTTTTCAAAAAGTTAATAGTGTAATGCAGCAACTGAATAAGTAATTCACGCTTTACCTGCATAATGATAGCATTAAAATCAGTTATCCTTTTGAATAAGTGCTCATTTTCTTTATGTTTTGCTACATATTATCAACAGTTCTCTCACTAGTATTAAAATGATAATAGTAAACGAACTGCTGAGGAAAGTCTGATTTTTAAAAGTGCAGAAATTGGCTGCTTAAGCGGCACAGGTTGCATAAATCAATTAATTTCATTATAATTGTTGCAAAAAGCCTACCATTTTTTTTTTGTTCTGATTTGTCCTGTGAACCAATCAAATTCCGAAGTTCTATATTTACATCATACATAATTCGTGCTTTCCAAAATGCTAGATGTTGTGCCATACGCAATTCACTTTCTAACTGATCAAATACTTCATCAATTTGCTCACGATTCATCTCCATCTTAAAATTTGCAGTCTATTTCTACCACTTCTTAATTCGATTTTATACAGTAAATAGAATGGAACTTTATCATTGAAAATGATCAGCACTAATTGCTATAAGCATGCTGAACAATACACAAAAGCAAATTTAGCTCAGAATAAAATTCGAAAATCATATTTTGCAAAAATACACTTAGTCAGTGTTAAAAACATTATAATTGAAATATTTACCATTTTTTCTCTGAGAAAAGCCTGAGTGCTACTAACTCCTCGCATAACTGTTTGATAAGTGACATTTAGCTCAGTCATTTTTTGGAGCGGTTTCTAAATGCAATCATTATATTAAACACTTAGAGAAAAATGGGGGAAATCCAAAACATAGCAAAGAAAAGTACTCTTTTTTTTAAAGTTTTAAAGAATTACCAAACCTACATAAGAAAGCTGACTATTTCAAAAACATATGTCTAACTTTCAACACTATAACCAATGCCAATAAACAAACAAATTTAAATGTCTTACTATGAATAACAAAAATTTGTTTTTGCAATTCAGTTTGAGGACAAATTCCAATATTAGGAAGTTAGTGCAAAACTTGAGCCTTATAACCGTTCAAAAAATTTCTTATAAGTAGTTTAGCGTTTATTGCACAAATTTAAAGATGTGACAAATTCGAAAGTTGAAACACAAGTTGAAACATTCTAACCTTTACTGCATTCACGGCTTCGGACAAACGTTTTACAAGATCTCTTACTGATCTACTGTCAGGTCGTTCAGTACTTGTAGATGGTTGCAATTCGTCCATTGCCAGTGAATGAGTCAACTGAAAATGCCGACAATTACTAAAATATAGTTTGAAAATCATGGATAGACTTCAAAGAAACCTATAACATGCGACAATAACATTTCGTAGTAGAAGATCATGCGATATTCAAAACTATGTATTTCAATTAAGAGATACTAAATTGGAAATGTTAATTGATTAGAAAGAATTTGAGATCCCAAACATCTCGGATTCTATCTAATCAAATAAGAAATTTACTCAATTTATTTCATGCTACATCGATACCTGATACAGTAAAAAACTAAAACCTTCAAAGGGATTACAAGATTATGATCAACAATGAGCTGCAGCACAATACTTTCTGGATTCAAAAGGCCAAGAGTATCAAACCGTAAAATAGCATTAACTGCATTACAATAGCGGTAACATAGTGAAAACATTTCATCTCAAAACCGCATATTCGAATGTTACTTATAGCCTGAGCTTTTATATCAGTTGCGACATCTGAAAATGATTAGAAAAGAGATCAGTTTCGTCCCAGAGATTAATAAATAACTTAAAATTGAATTGCAACAAAAATGTTATCCTTATTTTTTATGAGTTTTGAATACCAGCGATATGTTACAAATCATTTTTGTTTTAGTGCAGATATCACATGATTGTTCATTCAAAACAGTTAAAAGTAATCTCAAAATTTCTACCCAAATTTCATTTTTGATGTGTTTAGCTGTTTACTTTTGCAAAATCTAAAATTTGTATGGATTTTCAAAGAGATGGACATTTACTTTTTCATTTATTGAGCAGTTTATTAAATTCGATTTTTTAAAAGTTAACTTTGTTTTAAAAATCATTTCGATTTCTATTTTCAAAGCTTACTAATTAATTGACTTACTTTTTTGTGCTCTATTCGTAGCATTCTAAATAAATCACTTTTATATATTCATTTGGATCTGTTTTCTTTTGAATTAAATAATAAGTGAAATGCTTAGGTTAGTATTTACAAAAAGCACTATCATCTTTTGTCGTTAAAATCTGAAAGTGAATATATTCTGTGAAAATTTCTGCTGCTACAGGAAGATAGAATTTTTACAACTTTATTTTGTTGCAGCATGGAACTATTGTAATATAATAAGCAAATTACACTTAAAATCGTTTTTTAGATATAAAATTAAAAAAGTTTTAAATTATTTCGATTAAAAATAACAAACAACTCAAAGCATACAGTGGACGATACATTTAAAGCATCACATGACTGAAACCTGTAACAACCCAAAGAGATTACTTCGGTGTATTGTTGAACTAACTAAATTTTATTCGGATATTTATTTGAAAAGCAATGTTTTTAATTGCCTTACAAATTAATCAGGAGTTTTATTATTACAGAAATAAATCTCTTCTCAGCAAATTTATGAGATATCAAGTTGGTGCTGCTTATGTTTCTTACAACATCTAAATTCACTAAATTCAGTGCGAGAAATGGAAGTAAATTAGCATATAAGAATTTTTCATTGTCTCTAAAATTACATACTGTTTTATTCGAGCAACAAATTAGATTTTTTTGCATTTAATTTTATGATTTATTTATAACACTAATGCTACTATTTTGAACTACTCTTAAATTTTTTATCTGAAGCAAAAGCTAATTGTTTGACACTTATTTTGAGATAGCATTAAATATTCATTATACTGTGTATTCGGGAGAAATTCCCTTTACTGTTATAAATCATATTGTTATTTTTATTTGTTATTATTATTATTATTATTTTATTATTATTATTATTATTACTATTTGTTATCGTTATTATTGTTATCATTACTATAATTATTACAAAAAAAAGGCTATTTTATGCCGAGAACAAATGTTTGAAATGAAATAGAAATAATACAATGAAAGTTTTATAATTTAAGACGACATTTGTTTATAACAATTAATAGTTGAAATCACGTTGATGATTAATAAAGCAGATAGGAAGCTCTAAAAGGCTTTTATGAAAATACAATGTTTGAAAGAAAAATGAAACACATTTTTCTTCTGAATCCAAATCTTTTACAAGAAAGATTTTTCTTTTACAAGAAAGATTTGGATTCAGAAGGTGAATTTAGTAGCTTAGTAAGGTCATGAGGTTCTTGAAGTAGTCGATTTCGATTTTCGAGTACTTCTTCGGTGCTAGTACTAGCTGAATTAGAGCAGATTTCAGCATGAGAAATTGGTCCTGTACTTGTTCTTGATCCTAATGCTACTGATCCAAACACTGATCTGGTGCTCGAAAAAAAAGGATGCGTAACACTGGAAAAGTTTTCAAGAACTTGAAATAGAATAAAATTACTCAATCATAAATAAATTTAAAAAATTTACTGCAGATGTTTTGTTTCCAACTTGAAAGTCTCCAAATATGTCTTGAAGTATGCATTCGCTAAGCATTTGAGTTTCATCTATGTTTTACTTATAAAAATTTCAATTTAATTTTCCAGCCTTTAGTTCCAATTTTTAAGTAAAAATCTACATTAGTAAGTAGTGATTGTGGAATCAGATAATTTCACATGAAACGTCGAGGTGTGAGTGGATAATAGGCAGACCTTGGCTCACATAACTTTGGTATCAGAGATGATCTCCACGCTCCGTAGTAAAATGGATTAAGGAAATAAGCAGTGACTTGGTGGTCAAGAAATGGCCAGTGAAGTGATGCCATCTTTTGTCTTTTATCTTTCATACGTCGATTTTGAAACCATACCTTGAATTATTGATTCTAACTTTAAAGTATTCCAATTCATTTATTCAAGAACCAAGTATTAACAATACTTAGTAAAAAATATTTCTCTAAAAAACTGCCAGTCCACAGAGACAGTAAGCTATAAAAATAACGATAAAAATGAATATAACTCTATGAGTCGAGACTTTTCTACCTGATGCAATGCACTGAGACTAAGACCATATTTTGTGTTTTATTTGTTCTGTTTTTGTTCTATACATATCTTTATTAATAACTGCATTTCCTATTCTTTTAATCTCTTTTTAAATTTAATAATTTTACTGAAATTAAAATGAACTAATCGTCGAAAATATGTCAAACGCAAAAGAATATCTTTTTTGCTTTTTAATTAGAAAGTTGTTCACTTCCGAAGTGAAAGGAATACCTGCTTTTGACTTGCATGACAAATTAATGCCATTTATGAATGAGTGCTTGCATACTGTATGTTTTGAAGTAAAATAACGAAATTGATGATAATTGATCAATTTGATATTAAAAAATATCAGTTCGAGAAATATAAAGTATTATTATAGTTATTTGCACAAATTAGCAAAAGTCATTACTTAATTTGAAATTATTATATATACTTAATACGGTAATTATACAAGCCATATAATATGTAAGATCCATTAGAGTAATGATGACTTAAGTTGACTAGGAAAAATAAGTTTAGTCTAAGAACTCTTTTATGAGCCATTAGAATAGGCACAGAGTTATCGTTTTGGCTGCAAAATCTGTCGTGACAAGCACATTGTTGACTAAAAGCGTTTAGCATAAAAAAGCTTTAGCTGCTACGCTTATGATTTCAATATCATTCAACCAATACATTCACAATTCAGTCTTATGCACAAGCAGAAGCAAACGTCTCCTGGGGAAGCTATCTCATAGATTCAAGATGAATTCCTTCTACAGTAACTGCTTCGAGAGGAAAGTTGCTAAGTATGAGTTATTTTCTTCGACTCAAAATGCTATCTTTGCCCCATGAAAATCTCGATCCCATTAATCATTTTTGATCTTGAATTATGTCAAGCAACAAGTAAACAAATACTTTGCATCTTTTCTATTTCATTCTGTCTTAACTATTTCATAAAGTTTCGTATATTTATTAATTGTTATAAAAATTATAGTTTCTCAGTAGTAAGTTTAAACTCTGCAAATGTATTAGTTATCTAATAAATTTAACAAGTTGTTGATAAAATAATCTGAGCAGTAATTAAGAAAATGACGTACTGATTAATTGGTTGAGCAGCTCAATTACGTAAAATACGCCATAAATTTTGCTCACCTTAATAGTACCTTCAGGTAGATTAAGCTGTGCTGCCAATTCGCATCGCTTAGGACGTGAAACATAATTTTCACGCGCGAACTCTTTTTCCAACCGATTAATCTGTTCACGACTAAATGCAGTTCGATAGCGCCTCATCGTATTATCATCACTTCCTTCTGCTACAAATATTCATCAAGAAATTAATTTAAGCAAAAAATTGTATCACAGTATAACTTTTTGTTTTACTTTGCTGAACAATTTATAACCAATGTACACTGAATTAAAAGCAAAAAAGACTGCAATATTTGAATACAATAACGAACAGTAAAATATATTGCAATAGATTGGTTGAGCAGTTCAATTACGTCAAATACGTCATAAATTTTGCTTATAACTTTGTGCAACACGGAAGTAATTTAACTAAAAATATTACTGTCTTTTGCATTTTGCAGACCGCAATTGCCAATTGCCTTCAGCAAGATTTCTATTGAAATGTTTGTAATTGAGAATTTGAGAACTTTATTGACTGATCAAAAAATAGCGTAAAATATAGAAATAAACAATTAATTACAACTTGTAATAACTTTTTATATTTTTACAATGGCGGCATTGCTTGTTAAAATTTTTTACAACCGCTTTTTATTCTCATTCAAAACGAAAAGTTTCGCTGCGTTTATTGAGGAAAGCATTCAAGAAACTACAATAGACTATCGTAATTAGTACTGTAGCAACTTTAACTTTAATTATTTGTTCAGTAAATTTTATTTCTTAAATGTGAAAGTGAAATTGGCATCGTTAAAGAGCAATAATGTTTTGCTGATGCTATGTACTGTTTATGACAAGAGTTGTATAACAATTATATCACATTTACGACTTGTAATTTGTGCACTTTTACGTAGCGCCCGCTTCTTTGTGTCGGTGGTTCGGCACAGTTTCGTTGAAGTAAACTGTGCAATAATCCTTTTATTTGCTGTATATCATTCACTTCCTTCAGTACTGTCTACTCAAAATTATAAGTAAATGCTACGCAAATTGCTCTCCTTTATTCTTTATCTATTTATTCAAATATTAGTGAGCATTAAGTGTCACATATAATGTATAATTTTTATTCCCATAATACCTTCAAATTACTATACTCACCTTTAATGCATTAAAAGTATGTATCTCAACTATTCTTTTCTTTCAATTATAAAATATGCAAAAAGTTTATTATCTCAGCAAAATATGCGAATAATACAATTTCAATAGTAACGACCATTTTGACCCCTTGCGGCAATATTTCTTCTCATCACATTTAAGAACAGCAAATAATTTTTAATTCATACTAATAAAACGATGTTAAACTTGTTAAATATTAATAATTTTATTGACTTAGCGGTGATTGATATTGAAGCAAAATATAGCAAAATGAATTTAAAACAGGCACATATGCAGCATAAAGCAGTAAACTTTCTAGACTACTTGTGAGAATAGAAAAGTATCGACTAAAGCATCAAAGTTTCTCTGATACCGAAATCCCACTTCAAACTTAGCACAAAAATACAGTTTGATTTGAGACGGCAGTTCAACTTGAAGTCATTTCGAGTTAAATTTGTCTTGAAGAATTGTTTAAAGCACGCAAGTGCAGTGCTCTTTCCTTTGAGAATTAACAAAAGTACTGTTTTCAACTGATTACTCTCTCATACTTTCGTTACTTTCATGCTTACTTTTCCCATAACTAATATCTAATATAATTTTAAAAATACTTTTGACACACAATTAAGTTTTGAAGTAATATGTGGTATAAATACTTGCGATAATCGTATTTAGCATAAAGTATTGTTGTAATAAGTGAGTAGTCAGATTGAAGTAAGTATATGATAAGATCTCTTCTGTCTCAAAAAGGCAAGTGAGGCGCATTTGAAATGCAAATCGCGCAGACATACAACTGATCGGTTTAGCCTGCGTCCGCTCTCGACTCTAGAATACTCTTTCAGTATCTATACTAATTACTTGGCTCTTGTCTGTCCTTATCTGTCCACTGCCTCATTCATTATTCAAGCAGCTTCAATTGATGACTTCTTTGTTTTCTGCATTAAATTCATGAAATTTCATTTATTTCCAGATTTCCTTTCATAAATCACTTGTTGCTTCCTTCTCTCTCAACTTACTCTTGTCATTACTGGACAGTCATGATAAGCATTCATGAAGTTGTCCTTCCGCATAATCACACAAACTTCTAATTTATATAATCTGCTTTGTTAATCTATAAAATTCAGTTTGTACACAAGTATTTTATTTATAGATTACATACTTACTTAATAATCTTTCTTCAGACCAAAAACTTCGACAACAATTTAGTTTCTTCCACAACAATTTTATCTTCTAACTCTTATCCGTCCCTTTTGTTAATGTAAAGTGAAAGTCTTCCGCTACTGTACGTACTTTTGGCATTTGCATAATTTAGAAAAGTATTTGATCCGAATTGATAATTTGTTAAGAGAATTCTTTTTTTAAATTCTCACTAATGAACTAGTTGTGAAAGCATATTACTGGCACAGTTTAAAAAAATTAGCCTGAAGAAACGGTCTTGAAAAGATTGACTGGCAATTCACAGCTCTCTTAGAATTTAAATCATTCATTAAAAGTCTAATCAACACAGGAAACGAAACTGTGCAGAAATCTTTTTGAATGATACTTCAGAAGAAAAAATGGAATAATGTCTAAATTCAAATATCAATCATTGTTAATTACTTAAGTAAATTGCTTTTCTCACATGAAAACATTATAAGTTAGTGCTTTAAAGGTTTTCAGAAAGATTTTATTACTTAATAATAAAGAATACCATTCATAATTGCAAAGAATATTGCAATAAGTCATTTTTTTTAAATAAAAAAGTTCTTGACATTAGACAAATTCCCCAAATGGTTTATAAAATTTACAAATATTTCTAAAGCTAATCGTTTCAAATTCCTTTTGACTAATTCAGAAGCTTGTGAAGTTGTTAATCAAAAGTTGAATTAATGTCACGCGAATTCATCGTTAACTAAAACAGAAGCAATTATAACCTCTAAATGCATATGCAAAATGTTAAATAATTCCTCTGGGAAAAAGCGAATTATTAGATTAAATGAATAATTTGATAGAAAAAACATTTAAATTTCAATTAAAAAAGGAAGAAAAATATGGAAGATACAAGCTAAAAGTTTTTAATTTTCTATATAATTTTATGTTGCAATACGAATAAATGAAAGATTCTTCAAGTACTATAAATTTAAGCAATATTGAATAGTAAGTTATACAACTGCATGAATCATTTTAATTTTTTATTAAATAGATCAAAATAAAATAGATGATTTAATAGTTTTTGATGATTGTCAAATTCAAAAGTTCTTGGTTCCATATATATTTAGAAACTTGAACAGTAGTCAGAGATTGAATAACGTTTTCAAATAAAATAAACTTTGAAACTTACAAAAATGGCTTTCGTTTACGAGATGGACAGCAAATATAATGTGCAAATAAACAATTGAAAAGCTTATTTTTATTAATTGACAAGATAAAATTATTTCAGAGCTCATAGAAATCAAAAATGGCTTACTTGTGGATGAAAATGAAGTGCACTGAGATTTGTTATCAGAGACACTTGGATAAGTGTGGAATGCAGTTTCAAGACATTTGACGTCTTGATGTGTTTTTTCCTCAGTAGTTACAGTAACCTTTGTAGGACGAAACAGTGATGATGTTGGATCACAGAAAAATTCAGGTCTGAGCAGATTTGGAGTAAATTTTGGACTTGCTAATTTATCTGCATTACCCTCAGTAGTTAACAGCGGGAATTGTTCGATAGCAATAGCTGTAGCATTGGCTCTTTCAATATCTGGTGATTTTTTAGATAACTCAGAAAAGTTATTACTATCTGTACCATTACCAATCAGAGATTCGATGTCGAATGACTGCATGAAGGCATGCAAATTATCAGCAATGATTGCCACAAATGCAAACGTTACTTTCAAAAGTTTACGGTAATTTCTAGTTCATTTATTTGTATGGCTGTAGTTTTTGGTTGAAAATGTAAGAGTCCCGCCTTGTTTCCACTCTCTTTAACCAATCATTGATGAATGTTAGAAGAAATTGGTTTAAGAGGTGGAGCATAAACTAACAAAGTGATTGATCATTCGAGTATGCAATTTCAATATTACTTGGTTTTTTTCTATGCCTTAAACTGTTAAGCTTCTCTTCAATTCTTTATATTTTCTTGGAAATAAAATTTATATTTTATCAAAATGCCTTTTTAGAACATAAATTTTTGATAAAATGAAGATGAATTCGTCTATTAATCACTAAAATATACGTGAAAGCATATGCGGTATGCCCATGATATAAAGGCCTGATAACGATGAAATTATTCTTTCCTTTACACTTTTATTTTCATTCAACAGCAAAATTTATCTGCGTTTCATGAAGCGGAATCGTTTGCGATGAAATAACCATGATAATAGCTATCTATCTATCTGTTTATCCATCCTCTCAAATGTCTCGAGCTATTTGCTTCATAATCAGTCAAACTGAGGTTCGAAAGTCAGAAGGGGAAGATATTACTACCCATGAATTATTTATTTTAATTCTCATCTCAATTTCAGCTTGTTTTTATGAACAGCAAGAAGATTAGTTCGAACTTGTGAAATGATACAAGCACTGCTTAATCCTGCACTGAAAACTTTCTCTCTCAATGGCCTATCATTCAGTTTCACTTTCACTTTGAACTCACAGTAATCACTCACTCGCCAGTACTTACACTAATCATACAAATCTTCATTGCATCATTATTTTATTACTTTAGGTACTAATTTCATACAGTCAAAGCCATAAATTTGATATTTCATTTTATCACTGCAATCAATTAAAGGTTTCCATTCCAGTCTCTACTTATTTGTAGTACAGTATAATTTTGCTTTAGACGACTACCTAGTGAAGTAATTTCACTATTCTCGCTGAGGAAGCACATTTTCTTGGGCTAGTCTATTATTATCGAAACTATTTAAAGCAACAAAAATTTACAAGTCAATCACCAAAAAGGATCATTCATGTTATTATGAAAAAATACTTGATTACTTGACTTTAATTTTACGATGATTTTTTTCTCTCTCACTTGCACATTACAGATGCAATCAAACTTGAATATAATGAACTAAGTAATCAAAACCCACACGTCATTATCATGTGCGCGAGGATAATTCAGTAATGAACCATTCTAATTTGTCATCTTTCCATGACATTAGAAATAACTCTCTCGATCAGCTGACAGACTTTGCAGTAACATATAAGTCTATCAAATTTCTTCTTGCTCGCATGTGTATACATACCTTTCACAGCATTAATTGACCATAAAATCAATGTATAGTTTGCTTTAAGGAGGCGCAGACTTCGTGGAACCAAGTAATCACTTCTTCACCGCGGTACCAACCATAAAATTGTATTTGGATTTGCACATCCTCAGTCCCCACTATCATTTCCGTTGTCCCCGTACACATAATAAAAGTAGTACAAAAGAAAAGAGAACTAAATCTGTACTCCTTTACTTGCTGTAGCAGTATATCAATTAAATATATACACGTCAGACATGATAATTCAAACAATTCCTTACAATTACCATTCCTTTCTCTTTGCCCACATAAATTCGCCGATTACACAAACTATGCACCAAGAATTTATTAAAACAGAAGCTTGATATCATGATACTTACAAAAAAGATAAATGAGCGGGACAATAATCTAATCTTGTTCATCTTTTAACATCTTGAACATAATCTAATACAATTTAAAGTAGAAAACAAGGAAAAAACAATTGGAGACAATTTTCTTCATGACAATACAAGCGTCAGTTGCAACTGTTACTACATGAAAATTATGAGAAGTTTGATTTCTTACAAACATAACAAACTTTTGATTCCAATACATCGCATACATTTAATTAAAGTCTTGTTTATAAATATACTCCTCAGCGTAACCATCATTCGCAATATGACAATTATTTTTGCAGGTGTATAGCATCATAGTAGCCCAGTCAATACTTTTGCCGATACAATCAACACCAATAAGTGATAGAAGATGAGGCATAAGCTGAAGCTCGAATTGACGCTCAGAACCACATAAAGAACAAGGCGGAATAGCATGAGGTGGTAGTGCATGATCAGTTGCTAAGAGCGGCTCACCACCACGACTATAACGCAGTACTTGTTCTGGATTAAGTGCTACAATCTGAAATATTTCAGCAGAATACAGTACAGAATTTCACAATTAAAATAGTGAATGAGTACTGACATGAAAATTGAAATGGGATAATTTTAACTCAAAATTAACCTTATTAAATCGCTTAAATGCAATGTCTTTTTCACTAGGACTTTCTGCCATTTCTAGATCGCCTTTATTCATATCGCATGAACCCTAAAACTCCGACATGAAATTTTAGATACGATGACTTATCTCTTGCACTATTTATACTGAAATAATAAAAACAATGTTGTAAACAACATGTGTAGTCGACTGGAAGTGAAATATGCCAACATAAATATCTTTAGGCTTTTGAAATTTCACAATTTCATGATACAAACTGGATTTCGTGAAATAATAGGAAATTTATTAAGTTTCAGATATCTCATACTAAGATCACAGAACTTCATTACTAGTTTCCATATCTGACCTTAAAGTTTTTGAGATACTCCTTGTAATCATCCATTCGCTTTTTCGCTCTATCATCATCGCTATCATCATCGTCCTCATCATCACTGAGAATATGTTTGCTCCTTGAAAAATGTTCGGTACCCATTTCAATTGCATATTCAGGGAAAACAAATGGATTTGCTGCAACGCTTCGTTTAGGTTTTCTTAACCAGTTTTCATTATCGCCACTGAAAAAAAACCTTTTTAATTTATTTCAAAAAACGTCTAACACAAAAAACTTTCTCCTTAGCCATGTACATATGATAATTCTTTTAGCTTTCCTAAAAGGAAATGCGTTATATGTACATGCACAAATAAAACAAAGTCAACTTCTCTATGTTTTCAGGCTTTTTCGGTTCATTGATGTCCACTTTTTTACATTTGGATTTATGCGATGAATTCCAATCAATTATTTGATGCTCACGACCACAATACCTAAAGAAAACTTTCTTTCCACCAAATGTTACAGAAATTGATACTTAAGCTTAAAATCTGTTGAATAAAAATATGGAACTGATCGCGCATTTTAAGACAAATGCTAACTACATACATTTATTTTGAAATAACATGTACTGCACCTAGAAAATACAGGTATAATAGAAATGAATAAATGAAATAAAACAGAAAAAGAGAAAAGTACCATGCCGACTCACAACGCGCACATTTCTTCATTGCACTGCACCCACAAATCTCACATAATTTAGAATAATTCTGATTACGAAAAGGATCTGGACATTCCTCATCAAAGTCGGGATCAGGAGGAGAATCCGAAGGATAGAAATCATTGTATCGTGGTAAAGTGCAACGAAAAGCTCGAGCATTACTGCTATCTTGATTCTAAAACATTTCCAATAATTTTCTAAATTTCTAACAATCAGTAAATTCTAGAAGGAACAAAAATCTTAGTTTTACCCGTGAACAAAGAGAATTTCGACAAATGAAAAAAAAAAGAGTGCGATGAAAAGAGTAGTCATGGTCATTTGGATTCGTTGCATATACTTGACATAAAAATGCCATTGACTTTCCGCAAACCTAAATAAAAATTTAAAAAAATTTGAAAAAATGAAAATTAAATGTTACTTATTTGAGAGGGATTGAAAAGATGAATATAATTTGTTAAATGTGATGAAATTTTAAATTTCAGCTGCAGCGATTTGCGATGATTTTTCAGGTTTCAGAAAGCAAATTTATTTCTATTCACTCAAGGAAAATGTAATCAAAATGAAAATTAACCAGACATTTAATAAAAAACATCTCTTATATTAATCAAAAGTGAAAAAACAATAAGTAAAAATACCCGACAAAGAAGAGAATCAAAAGCTGGAAGATTGACAGGATTCAACCAAGCTGGTTTACCACCAATTTTACCAAGCGGCAAATAATGAGGAAGTAAACGATAAGAAAGATGCGGCTCAAGAACTTTTCCAAAGCCCAAGTAAACTAATGGCACTGAAATTGAAATATTAGTTGAAAACAAGAAACAAATCGGCGAAGTGAAAATTCGCTTCTTAAATTAAAAATATGAAGGATTAAACAAAATTTACTAGTCTTAAGTACAGACAACCATTTTTATGACAACAAATCAGAGTTATGAAATTAGAGTTAAGGCTTTTCAAATTTTGCTCAGCTATGTAAATTAGTGAAGAAAGAGCAATTCATTTGTGGAATAACTTACCATGGAAATCTTCTGCTTCTTTTGACATAACTGCTACTCTTTCTTGGATGTCTTTCTATCAGAATAATATGCTGTATAGACGAATAAAAAAAGCAAAACGTGAACAATCACAATAGCAAATATAGCTGAATATAAAATTGATTTCTGACTGTCGTAGCCAAGCAGTGCTAAAATTACACAAAACAAAATTAGTAGTCCATTATGAACCCAATGCTGAATGATATATTTTTTAATGATTAAAAATTAGTAAAAAATCGCTATAAATATGGAAAATTTGTCAAGCAATTTATCAAAAATTAAGTTCAGACTGCCGATCAGAAACTTTCCAAACTTATATCTACATGACGTTTAAATAACCCCAACCTTGATAATAAACTCCAAAAACGCTCAAATAAATCAACAGATGTAAGAACTACAACTTCCAATGAGGCAGAGCTCAGTAAGATCCTACTGTCTAATGGGAAATTAATTTAAAAACAGAATGAAACTGACCTTCAAAAAAGAATTTCTTTAAAATGAACATAGACCCTAGAGGGACCACGATAATTGTCAAAGAATACGTTAGCAAATTTTTTACGGCAGTTTGGACAGTTTCGTCACGAAGATTAGGAATAAACTGATCCATGTAATGAATTCAATACACCATCCAAGCCGAGCAGACTAGAACACTAGAATAAACACAAGCTAAATTGGACGAAAATTTAAAAAAATACTGAATAAAAACTCGACACTGACTCCATATTTATCTATTTGATAGACCATATTAAATTCATTCTCTCATTTAATGATATGTTAAAAAGTAATTGAAATATTCATATTAGGAAAGTTAAAAAAGAATATGTATAAAACACTTGAAAATGTTTCATCAAATATGTAATACAAAAATATATGTAAGCTTTATACATTATGAAGTATATAACAAAATGGTTATTTTAAATGCTCATTTTTAATAAGCAATAAGCATTCAAAATATTGCGCAAAGTACGTTAATTATATATATAGACTTTTGTATGCAAATAATATTTAATACACAACATTACCGTACATAAAAGTGAAAATATCCGTTTAATGCTGCCCTAATCAATAAAAAAGTCAATCCACTACAGGTTCTAATTGTAATTCAAGTTAGCTAAACTTTTTCATCTCAATTTTCAGCCGACTCAAAAATTTCTCATTTTAACAAAAATTGGCTGAATTTCAGCAGGATGATAAAAGTGTGAATTAGATATACCAATATTAATACTTTGAAACTAAAAACAAGATCTGGAAAAATCCAATCACATTTGAACCAAGACGAATTCTACCTCAAGCTTTTCTTAAGCATAATTCTTGAATATGACTTCGCTGGACCCAAAAATTCCCTTTTTGCACCACAAAAAATTCAAATTACAAAAGAAATTACTGAATTATCAGTCATACATAATTAATGAAAACAAACAACTTCAGTCTCTAACTCATATAAACATAAATTCCATTATTTAAATCAATTTAATTTCGCTTTTTCGTAACTCGTTGTTCCATACCTCTTTCTTCCTTGTATGCAACAAGGACAAAAAGAGCAATAACAAAATATACCACTATGACTGCAGCAAGAGCCGCAGAAGTAAGTGCTGAAGACGGCGTCCATCCATGCTGATCTGAAAATTTTGGTTGATTCAGTAATATTTGCTTTAATCTTTAACAAGAAACAAATTACTACAACCGATATCTAAACTTAAACACCAGTACATAGACTGGACATGTGAAAGCAGGAGTCAAAGTAAATAACCGCAATTCATCACAAGTATTAACTTTTCGTTATCGAGAAAAAATAGGTGCGATTTTTCCACAATATAGAAGTGTCGCTGACATTTCTCAAGTTAAAACTTAAGAATAGATTTAAAAGAATTGAGAACAACTAAATTCACGAAATACGATCAAGTTGTATTGTAGCAAAAATAAACCTTTCAAATAAAAGTAGGAATAATACATTACAATGAATGGTAGAGTAAACATCAGTAGACTGTATTTCAGGAGATTATAAAATGCTGATGCCTGCGTATCTGTTACATCAACTGACTCCTCGGAAGCATCCTTAAAATCTTAAAAACCTTCTTAAAAACATGCAGTAAACTAAAGTGAAAGAACAAATACACTACTCTTCAATTATAGAACGGAAATCATACTGTATCTCCATCCGTGTGACAAAGTACATCATCCAATACGCTGAAGTCATCATCCGAAATGTCTTGCGTACGTTTTTCATTTATCATCGTTATCTGCAACACTACATCCTCAAATAGAAAAAGTGAAGTAGGAAAAAAAATCATAAGGGCTTCCTATTGACGTTAACTCGTACTCGTACTTCCTCATAATATGTCACTGTTTCCCGACAGATACAAAAAAATACATTATATAAGAACCAAAATGTATCACAAAATTCAGGAAATACTATTTCACGATTAGGTGTATTTCAAAAACAATATTTTTAATGGAATCATAGAGTATTTGTGATTTTTTTTTATTATGGGATGACAGCTATCACAAAACATGGAATGCTGAAAGGCAATTAGATGTAAAAAGGCAACTATTAAAAAAAGACACTTAGAGGTCAAGCAAAATGCACTTGAATAATATGGAAGATCAACAACACATAAATTATTAGTGAGATCGGAAAAGATGAACTTCAATAATCAATAAAGTAAAATATTTTTTCTAAAAAAATGAATTCTTGAAAAACAACAATATCTTTTAAACTACAACAAATAAACATTCTTCGTTGTAAATACTGCACAAGCAACAAATTCCATTCCAATTATCATGAGAAACATTCAAGCGTCATAACTACTCTCATATATGCATGCCTTACTTAAACTGTCAAGAAAGTACTGTTTTATAACGGACAAATCACTGTACGGTCATAGATGGACGCTTTAAAGGAATTAATATGCGACCGACTGCGGTAGATAAAGAATCTTGACTTTATTTCTATTCCCATCGCTAGCTGGCTTCAAAATTCCCATAAATTCCAATTCGCCAATGCACCGAAAAAGACGCAAAACTGGACTAATGCCTTTCATTTTTGCTATATATTTTTTAAATTTCGCCAGCCAGACAGGCACTGGAATGTTCACGTATTCCAATGAAAGATCGAGAAGAGAGCGGTAAGCAAAACAGATATCCATTTGAACTTTACTGTACTGCAAACGACAGTCAATGATTCATGAAAAGATGAAATTTTTCTTTTTTAAACTGATCCATGGTGACATAAATACGAGTGGACTGAATTCCACATACCTGAATTATAATGAAAACATAAAAACTTTGGACATACATCCTGCTTTTCGCATTTTGGTAACAGAAGCGCTTGTTCCAAATTAGATGAAAAAGAGGGAAATACCATGTCCAGTATATCTCGTCTTCCTGTCAACAGTTTCTTTTCCAGAATTGGAATATCATTGAAACATCTTAATGCTTTCGACATAATCTGAAACATACTATACTAGTTTGTAAAGACGAAAAAAATATATTTTGAATATTTATGTGTAATATCTATTAGCAGATACCTGAGTAAGGAGCTTGACAAATCTCTGGTGATTTTGATGAACTAGGTCTAAACGTTTCTTATGAGCGATTTTATTCTGAAACTACCATGATTTAATTCCAAATTCGAGTACAAACACTTTCAAAAATGACAAACCTCACGGATTCTCATTCAAATTTGAGTCCAAAAAAATTTAACCAGATTTTGAAAAATAACCCCATTAAAAAAATGCCTGCAAGACTTCAAGGAAAAGCAAATTTTCAATTGACAAAAGTTTAATTTCAGTCATAATATTGTTTTATTTCGACGAACTAAAAAATAAAACTACTCTCAATCGTAGCTGCATTTCATGGAAGGATACTCTTTTACTAGAACCAACAGCAGCAGCTTCCTCATGATGATGTTTTGATAATTGCTTTAACAGGTCATTTTTTTGATTATCAGCATCCCGCAAATCAGCAAGCAATACCTACAATATGCTGTATATTGAAAGAAATTAATGCTCCAAGTATATAACCGATCACAAAAATTTCAGTATAGAAAAACTGAACACTTCTGAAATGAAAGGAAAATCTACGAAAACATATGCAAAGAGTTTAAACAGCGAAAGACTCAAAAAACTAGAACGTATATTTTCGCCAAGAAAAATAATAATTAACTTTCCCAATTAATAACATTACTTGATCCTGAAATAAAAATAACAAACCTCAATTTCTTTACTATAACAACGAGCGATCTTCTTTACAGGAGTCCACAACTTCTGTAAACAATGTAACATTTCGTCAACACTCCATGTTATCCAAATGCTTTTCCATATCCCAAAAAAGATGTTAAGAGTGAATGCACAGATTTATTGTTATCAATCGTTTTTTGAATTCATTATGAAACCACTTAAAAATTAAGAGGACTGTGTACTTATCAAGAAAATTTTTACTGATAAGCTTGTAAGCAATCTGTATACTACCTACAATTATTAAAAAAATCAAGTCAACGTATTTTCAAAATAACAAATGCTACTTACGAATATGGTCCTTCTTTTTCACTGAAAAAATTCCGATTCAACTGTATCCAGTTATGCAGTTCGTAAACATCTTCTGCTTGATTCGGAAAATCAGTAGTCAGTTCATGTAATAGGTATAAAAACGTCTCATACATTGTTAATAAAGCTTGAGTACTTTCCTTAAAAGAAACATATGAGTGCTAGAAAGCTAGTCTTTAATGACTTCAAATGAAACACTCTCAAAAAGCTATAAACAACTTGCATTTTCGGCACTGATAGCCACATCTTGACCAAAATCTTTGCACTCCAACATCTTATGCAATAACGTCACTTTGAGAATACGTTTAACTTCAGAAATGGATAAGCTATCTCTCAAAAATCTATTTCGAAGTTCTTTGTGAAGAAAACCATCAATTACAATCTGAAAATTAGCAAGCTTTCGTAAAACTGCTTGAGTATGCTCAATGCGAATTCCTAAAACAAAGACATTTAAAAAAAATAAATTCCAAAGGATTTGAAAAAGAAAATGAATTTAGAAACTTGACATGAAACTAAAACTTTTACGATTTCTACTCAATGTATCTTACTTTAGACAGGTAATAACTAAGTTGTTTAAAGTATGAGTGATAATGATGTTATTCTCGTTGACTAAGACTCCAATGCCTTAAAGACAAAATCAAAAACCAACGTGATTAGTAGGATTGACTGCAACAGCCTTGGAAACAGTCTGCAGAATATACTTCGGTGCAGGTAAACAGTAGAATTGAATATCCAATTTCCAAAAACTTTCTTGTGAGAAACGAACAAAAATAATGTTGAAGTCTATAGCTACTGTTATTAGAAAAACAATTTTCTTCTCCCTGAAGTGACTTAGCTTACACATGATGGATAAAGAACTGAGGAAAATCGTAACTGAATATAAATTGGGCACACTATGACTTAATGAACTTCCATTTTTATGGAGGTGAATTTACTAATAAAGAAATACCCATAAATTGACATAAGTATTTACAACATACCACACTGGATCAGTAAATATGGAAATTAAACCATCCAAGTACTTGGGTGCTGTAAAGCATTCAAACTGCCTCAGTATCACAAATTTCTTATCCTAAAACAAAAGGAGAATAATTTTGAGGAAAATACAATATAAATTTCAAAGACGAAATATGCAAACGCAATCAACTGACCCCCATCTTATTTAATCCTTCATATACATCATGTAGAGAGATAGTTTTCGACGGTGATATACAAATTGGTTTCACGTTTAATAATTTGATCAGAGACCTTATAAAATCATATCCATCTGCAGCTTCACAACGCACTACCATCGTTGGTATCGCTAAAAAAAGATAAGATACTTTAATGAATTTCTGCTCCTTGAACAAAACATTAATAATAAAAGTAATAAGTTTGTAACAGTTTACAATATGCAAACGCTGCTATGAAAATTTTTTCATATCAAGACTGAATAACGATAATGAATACGGATAACATTGTTTTTGGAAATACTGACAACCGGATGCTACATAATTAGCTATTACAGCACGTTCTTAATAAACCTGATAATCCTGTTAAAAAAGAGGAATGTATTTCTTTTAGAGCTACATAATTCCTTAACTTACTAACAACACAAATCCTTTGGCAATTTCAGGTATCTATTTAGCTCCCCTCAAATATTTTTTTATTATTTTTTTTTAATATATGTTAAATGTTTCTTAAGCGGTGATTAAAGATGAACCATAAGCACTTTCAATAATTACTTACCTCGCATGTTCGAAGTTTTTTTCCAACATAAGTTTGTGAAGGCAGCCATATCAGATAAAACTGTACCATATTGTTTATCAAGTTCACAATCGATTTGAGAGAACAACTTGTCGCATTCTTTATTGAAAACATTTAGAAATGAATTGTTTTCGTAACCTTCCACACATTCACCGAGCAATGTTTTGCGTTTACCTTTGTGAAATTTGCAGTACTCCATATAATAATTTATGCACTGAAACAAACTTGATTTTTATCAATTATCTGACACAAAATTGGATGCCTGCAGATGTATATAATGAAACCTTACCATGAATGTCATAAAAGAACGACATTTATAGTACAGTTCAGTATTCAAAATTTTGAATTTTGAAAAAATGCTAAACATACCTCAATTACCCCTTTCCCTCCCAGTTATTCAGCGTGGCAAGTCTAACTAAGCTTATACCGACCTACCGATTATACCCCATACTCAAATCCATAAATTTTAGCACAAAAAGTTGATTTAGGAAAATCAAATTCAATTAATTCACTGATTAACTTTAAAAAAAAAGGGCCGCGGTAGTGACTGTAAAAAAGTGAAGCCCTTAGCAATGAATAGAAAATGAACCACTAAAGTAATAAATGAGAATAAGTAATCATACTGAGTGAATAAGCGTTAAGTTTGCAATAACAAAACATTGCAAATTTAAAGAAGCCAGATGCTAAAGGTCAAGTAGTAGTTCTTTACCTCAAGCACTAACTACAGTGCAGCTTAGTTTTGTTCTGCTGCACTTCTTTGTCCGAACTAATGTTCTAATTTATCTGATAACAAAGACTGATAAAAGCTCTTCCATATAAATGCTGACTGACAAAAACTTGAAGTTTTTTGTTCCTTTAAAGAATGTATATAAGTTAATCACAAATACTTGACACAATTATTAATAAGCTTACGCCAATATCGCGAACACAAACGTGGAGCAATCGCCATCTTATCTGGCAAATATGTCATACATAACATGATGGAAATGAAATTATTGCTCCCGACATTTCACATTCCAAAAATTGAACCAAGTACACTTTGCTACAAACACATTGCGATTAAGACTCTTCTAGCTAATCAATACTAAAAGAACACGCATTAATGAGAGAAGACATAGAAAAATTTTTGATGACATTACGTGAAACCACTGACCATGTCTAATTGTCACTTAAGCGTTGCAATTACAATAATAACAAGAGTAGTGAAGAAGCAAAATATTAAATTGAATTCTAAAACATGATAAACATAGAGCAATTAAAAGACAAAAATAGAAAGCATTCTTGATGTCAGTGGAACAGACTGAGTGAGAGAATGATAACAAGTTAATGTCTCAAAAGTGATAGGTAAAGCTTTCACTCAAAAAGTTTTCATGCCGATTATGGTTAGTAGTGCGGAGGTTTTGATTGCAGATTGTTCGGAGAGAAGGATGTTTGTGTGCGTGGAAACTGCAAACTTGGATATGGAACGCTTAGGAAACAATGTGTAGAATACGACAAGTTGGACATCATGCGGTGGCCATATCAGTTATTGAAATCAAATAGAGAGGCGCTTGTTTTTGGGCATGTAAGTTTCTCTTTTTCTGCATGTTTTTAGTAGCAAAATCATTCATTACAGCTCTTCAGATATACTCTTGTAATTCAGGCATGTCTAATAATTTATTATCCTTTGAATCACACATTTGTCCACAAAGTTGTCAAGGATTCATAGCTTAACTGTTGCAAGTTCAATTCCTTAAGTGAATCAACTTAAGTGAACATGAATGTATTCAATTTTTGATTTTGCATTATACATTTCATTTTATGACCAAAATTTTGCTTTTAACTGTTTACGTAAGAAGCGTACAAAATTTAATATAGGATCTGACATTATTACATCAAAGTTTAGTTACTGTAATACATCGCATCATTTGAAACAGTATTTTGAATTATTTGTTATCGAATTTCAATCAAATCCTCATTGTTTCAGCATCGATCATCATTCTCCTTTGGCATCTTACCTTTTTTTATAGGTACGGAAATAGACTATTTAACTGTGTATAATAACAAAGTAAGTTCTTTATATTGCATCATATACTGTGAAGAAAATGAAAAAAAAAAACTGGTACATTTGTATGGTCAGAAGGCAAATTTCATTTTCACTACATTATTTTTTAGAATGACTCCATAAGGAGCCGAAATTGTTTTGCTCAGCTAGAAACTTTGTGTTCAAATGAAATTCTTCAAGTCATTTTAATTAGTAGTAACTTTTAGATCACCATATTTCCAGGCGTTCTTTAGAGTATCTTCCCATATCGCAACATATTTCTGTTCATCGCTTCCTTTAATTGGTCTTTGTTCTTGTGTGATTCTAGCTCTGTACAACGATTTCGAAAAAGCTACAGAGTAATTATTTTTTGTGTTGCAATGCACAATTAGGTAATGAAGGATGTTAAAATTAGTAAGTGCTCATTTCGACTTCTCAAGCATGATAAAAGAAATATTGGAGTATCACATGATCTGAAATTTTATCATATTTTGTGTAATATCGTATGGATTTAAAATATTTGAATCCTTGTCATTTTACTCAATTGGCAAAAGCTAGTGAGAATTGATATAGATTTAGTTAACTATTTGTTTTAATTGAAGTCAATTAAATACGTCCAATGGTCATTTCTAAGTAATTCTTATTATACCTTCACAAGTACAAAATTTTCTTCAGGACCCATTGTCACACGCGTAATGTTCTTCCATCCGTGTCATCTGCTATTGGGGACTTTTACTGGGGACGCTTAATATGGAGGACTTTAATCTTCGTCCATATTTTACCGCGGTGAGTATTTTTTATTGTAAAATAACTTTAGATACAAAAAATTATTGGTGCACATCAAATATTAAGAATTTTCTGACTCATCAAAGTGGAAAATATAAGCATTTTCTTTTGCTTGTTTATTTGTTTTTAAATGATTGGCACTAATATGTAATTCAGTATTTCAGCATTTTAGCAGCATTTGCCTATGCAAAGTTGTTCACATGTGGCTTGGAAAGCATTGTTCACACAATTTTTCGTTACATCACATGTTTTCTTAATTTACTGGAATTATTTTGTTTGTTGATGCTCAGTGTTGTTTCTTCCAAGGATAATCATTTTCGGCATGTCCTTGCCTTCTCTGTTTTTCAGGTTAGTTCATATTTATGAGTGATTTGATTGATGTATCTTGCTTTTATGTTTCTCCATAGAAAAATGATGCAGAGAGTTGAATATCGTTCTTTATACTGAGTGTTTCACAGGTAGCAGGGATGGTTCACGGCATACTGCATATTATCATGTACCGCATATCTGGTTTAAATAATTACAGTCCTGTTACACGAAAATCCTATAGGTAATCGGCTTTATATTCATTGTTTCGTAAACTTTTCAGTCTTGAATTTTTATTGGTCTCAGTATTATTATTTTGTTTACACTCTAGAGAACTAGAAAAAAATTAAAAAGGATTTTAGGTATATTAATAACCAAGCAAATTTTTTATGTTCTTGTCTAGCAACTTATTTTTCTGGTAGAGTAGTAAATGATTGATTACTAAGATGTAACATGTTTCTTTAAAGATCTGGAAAGTCAAGTGTTTTTGTTCAAAATTACATATTTGTAGCTTCTCATTTATAGCGTTCTGTTTAAAAAAAAATATGAAATCATATTTAAGATATAAAAATGATCTGTGTCTAGAAATTCAGTAAATAGAGAAATTAAAAAATTTAGATCACATGAAACTTTCAGGGTGAAGAAAGCATGTTACAAGTGGTCAGCATTATTTCTAATCATTTGCTCTTTTCTGTATTATCGCCACAACAGTAGATGCGAGCCCTATGTTTTTTCGGCATTTGCATTTTCTGAATACCTTGTCGTACTGACTAATACCTGTTTTCATGCTACATTTAGATTCGATTTCCATGGTTTATATATTTTTGTGTTTTGAAGACGAATATGAGCTCTTTTTTCTTTTAATTGTTAATTGCGAAGAAAATAAACAAAAGTATTAAGCTTTATGCTTTTTTTATCAATGAAAGTTTAGAATTATTTGGCATTCTAGTTGTAAGTTAATGAGTGACTGTTCTGACAGATTTTGTTTGTTGTCTTTCATCATTCTTCAAACAGCAGTATTTTCGTTGAAATCGTTACTGAGTGGCTATAATGCTTACAACATTCCTTCATATACTATTAGTAGCTCATGATATATGAACTTTTCGCTGTCAACTTTACAGTGTGAAAGAAGTTTCAAGATAGTTGTATTAAGTAACTGCTAAGGATCTTTGTAAATAAAGAAATAGGAGCTATGCAGTTTCTAATTTCAAATTACCGAAGTGGACAAATTACTGTTTTTATTATGTCAACATATCAAACTGGTAAGAAAATCATTTTTTTTTCTTTTTTTTTTGGTTTCTCAGTGGAATAATCCACTTCGTAAACATTCTGATTTTTCAGAGAATGATTCATTCCAAGAATGGCGCAGCTGTGCTTTAGTGTTGTATATAACTGGTTTGCATAAAAGGTATATAAAAGTATTGTGACTAGTGGCATAATACGTGGTTTAAAGAGCACTTACAAAATGGAAAAGAGGTTAGTTATTCCTTTAATAAGTCTTGAAAGAACAAAGTAGATATACTTTCAGATGTGTCTTGAATTTGTAGGAACAACAATAGCAAACTACTAGTCAGTGATGTTCAGAAAAAAAAGAAATGTTGCATAGTGTCGTATTTATGACCATTGTTTTTGTTCTTGAGTATAAGTGTTCACAATTTTCATTTTTTTTGAGGAGAAAATACTATACTTTGAGAATGAATTAAGTACTCTTTAATGCCCAGTGTTATCACTTTCTTACTTCTGGCCCATGACAGTCTTGTTTTCAGGACACTTGTGTCATTCATCGTGGCAATTTTCATTCAGGTCTGTTCCAATTTCTAACAACTTTTTTAAAACATTATATAAAGAAAAAGCTAATCTCTTAAACTAGCCTCACAATTTTGCATTTATTGAAAAACTTTGGGATGAAGTCGGCTAGTAATTATTTCCCAGTGAACATGAAATACTGCAGATGACGTACGCACAACCTTTGGCAAGTCTAGACCTTCTAAGGCCTTATGATCCTTATTCAATAGTCAGTAAACCTATACCTCAGTATTCGATTCAAAACATAGGGACGGCGCCAAACCATTTTTCACAAGTTATACCTGGATACCTACCTGATTATCAAGGCGACGAAAGAACTGAATTTCCCGCAGCTCAAAATACGAGAGCGCTTAACGCACCGTTCCTCCAAAGTATTAGAAAAGGTATGTAAAACTAGTCATTTGTCACGGCTCAACACAAATTCCTTCCATACCGGATAGAATAATTCCATCAGGAACCAAAACCCACGCTCTACAAACTTACTAGTGCAATTGCAGTGATTCACATTTCGGAAAAATTATGCTATTTATTTTCTTGCCAGGTATACTTTTCCAAATATGAACTAGAAAATAAGACCAAGCAGTTTGTCCTTTATACAGAAATTTTTATTTCCCAATGGATGCAATGTCGAGAACTCAACTTTTCACATCAAATCACAGAAACTTCACCAAAAGAGCGTACAACTCAGCACTTAACGGACTATAGGAATGTTCTATGCCAGTCAGAATATGTCAATGTTCGTAGAGCGTGGGTTTTGGTTTAATCACATATCTGCAGTTTATCCACTAAATTTGCTTAACGTACTATATGAAGAATTCATTGTCAATGTGTTTTCAGAATGTATAAAGTCCTCAACATTAACAGCTACTCTGCACTACACTCATTTCCAGGTTTTGAATTGAATCGAAACAGAAAGCAATATTTCTGAAAAATTCTGAAAACGCAAACTACGAAGACGAAAAAGCAAACAACTGACGGAAAAAATCTTAAATTGTCAATTGATAGGATGTAAGGACTAGAAAAAATGATATTCCTATAATTATGGTTTACAAAATGCATGAAATTTTCGGTTAAGTGCAGCACAGCATTAAAAGCAAAATTTATTTTTCCTGAAACTTATTTTAGTTCGAATGAAAAACACAATGTATACACATCGTTTTTAATAAAATCATATCCTTACATTATTATTCTATCAAATATACTTTTCGAAAGTATAATAATGTAAAGAGACAGATTAATATTGTGTACCAGAAACTGAAATGTACAAAGGTTAAGTACATATAGTTAAATTGCATAGAACAGACAAGATATTTCTTGAAAACAATAAGTAAAGAATGCATTCTTTCTTTTCTGAGCAGCAGTCTTCTTGAGTTGCGCACCATTCGCAATCAACATGAATGGAATGTCAGTTTTTCCTATCACTTAGAAATGCTAAAACTGAGATATTTAAAAAATATCTTTAAAATATTTATTTAAGAACTAGAGAGATGAGAGGAAGATATTTTTGAAAGTTTGCAAAGTAATTCATGTATAAAGGAAATGAGACACCAGTAAGTTCGGAAATATGATGAAATATACAGAATTATGTGAAATGAAAGTGCATGTGAGGTAAAAAATTAAAATGAAGAAGTGTCTTCGATTAACAGGATTGTGCAAATACCACGAAGACCTCAGAAAATTAAGATCCATAATGTTCGTAATATGCTTCACCTGTATCAACCTCACCAGTCTCAATTTGCCCTTCATCCACAACATAAACATTTCCGTATTCATCTGTTGTACGCAGTGGTACATGTCTGTAATACACCGTATCTTCATCATAATCAGTGTCATATAGTTGCCGCCGCCGACTACTGGTCTGCAATCAAGTAATCTCAATGTAGACATAAATACCGAGTTCTAGTGGAACAACGACGCATATAATGTAGAGAAATCACAAAAACAATATTAAGCAACAAAACCAAATACTTTAATGACGAGATGACAAATTCCTATTGCGAACTGCATTAGAAATAATTTCATTAAAAAACTCTCAATGATGACTTTCTCCACCAGAAACATAAACTTACTGAATCCGAGCGCAATCTCTCAGGAATACTTGCAAATGAAGGTAACCACTGTGCATAACGTGAGCCAGGCCCACGTCGTTGGAATTTTTGTATAACATCAGGGTCACCCTCTTTTATTTGTATCATCATACTATTCAAATTCGAAATAGAGTTTTGAGTGGTACGGAGCTGAAAAAATTATAAATTATTTCCGCTGTGTTAGTGATAACGATCAAAGCTAGTTGAACTTACTGCTCTTAAAACCATATCCATTGTTTCGTCATTTAAACGATAAAGTTGCTCTGAGACATTGTCAAACAAAAATGAACATAGTCTATCAATGTTTTTCATTCTAATATCAATTTCATCAGAATTTGGATGCACCGGACCATAACGCTGTTCTAATGCCGCTTCATTTTCTTCTCTCAATCGAACTGAGCTCTAGAAACACAATAAAACCTGATTACTGCTCTTATTGTGTAATATTCTGCTTGATTTCTCCGACAGAAAGTTTTTAAAGATACAATAATTAAAGAGTAAATTTTTCCTGGTAGAATAATTTTAAGATTGATATGATTATAAACCTAAATTGCGATTAAAAAGTGAAAGTAGAATGATAGATGAAATCATAAATGTAAACTTGCAAAAGTTACGAACCTCACCAAATCCTGTGGCCATGTCGTTATCGATATTGACAAAACTACCATCGTCGCTGGCAACACTTTTACTTTGGTCCACCGCCGAACTGACTGAACCAAAAGTTAAAAAAGTGATGTAAGATTATAATTCCTACAACTCATGATATACTGTTTACAGAAATCTAAATACTAAAACAATACCAACCCTGAAGATTTAATGGAACGCTTCTGTGAGACAAATCTCTGAAAAATTACAACATAAATTGATGATATATTGATATATCTATCTTACGACACAGGAACAGACAAAAAAATGGAAAATTTTAATAACACATACCTTTTAGGACGAGTAAGTCTTACACGAGCTGATACTTTTTCTGAACTTGTCGCAGGAAAAACAAACCTGGGATCCAATGCATGACCGAAATGGGTCAGTTGCCCATTTACTTCGATAGTTCTGAATTTTCGGTATCATAAACTTTACACTTATTTTAATGAATATTTTATGTGTAATACTTTGTTTGATTTCTCAGACGAAACTTTCTGAAGATACAATAATTAAACAGTAAATTTTACTTGATAGAATAATTTTAAGATTGGTATGTTACACATTTTTTATAATATGTATTTAATAAATTAAAACTCTTACCCATCTTCACATTCGGTGTAGAACAAATGAGCAGGACACATTGCGCCAATCTTAGCAGAACCTTTTCGAGGTCGATTACGTAATGAACCACCTTTGTTTATTCTTTAAATTTTATATCACTGACAAATATTAGTCCAGTACATATGCTGAATAATAACATAGAATTTTTATTCAGTACTGATTTCATAAAAGACATTAATAACTTTCCCAAAGTTTGGATAAGTACCTTATAGCTCCAGAACGATTGCAATACAACTGCCGTTTGTTTTCTGACTTCCTATGCAAAACAAACCCCATATTTTGAGTTACAGCTAAATCATCCAAATAATTCTGAAAGACAAACTTCTTCCACCAAATTATTATTACAACGTTAGAACGGAATTCAAGATAAATTAGGGTCAAAACTAAGTCAAATTGACTTCCATATTCCCAAACTTTAAAAATTTTTTCATACTTTTGCACCCACTAAGTTCAATATATATTACACTGTATGCTAAACAGAAGCATATTTATGTAAGAAAATAACGACTTAGCTAACATGAGATCACGCAAAAAGAAAAACACAGGATCTAAAACCTGGAAATCTGCAATTGTTTTGAAATTTCTTTTGACGTACTGCAGTTTTACATTATGTTGATCAGCAACATGTTCATTTAATGTATGGATTGTTGTTGCGCGATGTTCACAGCCAGGACATTTCACAGAAGCCTGAATTAATCAAACTGAATTAACCATTTTTGAACAGTAAAATTTTAAGCATTTTTATTATACTTCATGATCCAACACAGTCTACTATTTTTTCAATTGATGAACTTACTCTTACAACAACTCGATGAACTTTAAAACGATGAGCATTCATACTATTATGGTTGGCAAAATAACGATTGCAACGATCACACTGCAGTTTTTTTTTCTGTACACCCAATTTCTCGTTCTGTTTTTTCTTAGTGCTTTCTTCAGAATCCTAAAAGTAAAACATTCTTGACATTTCCAAAGCGCAATAATTTTTAAATATCTTTCTAAATCAAAGTTTAACATGGAATGATATACAACTAAAACGCTTGTAGGAATTTAATTACTTGAGATTTCTTAACAATTAATCGTTTACCAATTAACGCAGTGCATAAAACTTACCTTAGTGACAGACGCAAATATAAGTTTTGCAAGGGCATAAAAAAGATTTTTTTGCATTATTCCTCATACATCAAAAATAAGATGAACGTTAAAAGTAAACAGACATTCGCAATACCATGGAACTGTTCATATCTAATTTAACTCTTCCGAAAAAAAAAATGGACAAACCTATCACTTCTAGTCAGTTGAAGAAAAACAAATACCAGTTTTTAATATATTCATTTCTTTAAAATACGTGACTTTTAAAAATGGTAAGCATCATTTGAAATGCTGAAACCTGTCATACATTTTTCAAAGATTCTTTGTATTGCCTTCCTTTTTCTTCTTCTACTCGTCCTCGCACATCATCTGATTCATCATCGTCGAAAAACTCACTTTCATTACCATCATCAGCACCCTCATTTGTTTCCTGACTTTCGGACATATTTTCGTCAAAATTTTCCTAAAAGAGATTTCCAACGATGGAAAGTCATACAGTATATATTCATAAGAAAGTATGAAATATAAGCAAACAAGAGTCCTAAAATCCTTGAATATAGAAGGAATAACAATAGATCGTAAATGAATAAACTGCAGATACATGGAACATACTTTCTGCAAGACACTTAAATGATTTTGTTGCGACTGCTTGTCTTCCGCTTCCCTAACTTCTGGCTCAAAACTAGGACTTTCCGACAAATGTAGACGAGCAGGATTGCGATCAGTTTCGTCTACGTAGTCTCCATACCGCTGTGGTGCTTTATGTATACGTTTTGGTCTACTACTACGTTCTCCTTCAACACCTCAACAGTGCTAATATCGGCAAATGTACATTTTGTAAAAACTAATACTAAATATGAGTAAAACCTAGAAAAACAATTTTTTGAGATGAACAGAACGTAAAGAAGAGTTATTTACTTTCTTCATCACTTGTGAAGAGTGATTTTTGATTTTTCCGCGCGACTTTCATAGATTCCTGCCTGTTTTCAAATGCAGTGTTAAGGCCCTGAATTAGCAGATACAGAGCAAAAAAAATTACAGGGAGTCAAAATAGATTTACACAGTAACGATAAGATTTAAAAACTAACGAATTAATCTGCAATTCACGCTAAAATAGCGTGCAAAAGCGCGATTACCTCGTAAAATAGCGATGATTCGATATACATATGAATAAGTACCCGAAATTTACTTAATAAAGTTACAGTCATATCTGTCGTTAATTTTTACAGGTGTACAAATACAGAAAGAATCTGAGGATATATAAAAAATTAAAAAGTATCACTTTTTTAACCTTATTTTTTTTAATTACGGGTTGTATTATTCGTCGTTTACGAGTGCGAGGAGTCTGTGGAGGGTTGTTTTTCCTCACGCATTTCCGTAAAGTTTCAAATGCGAATCGAAAATCAGGTTTAGGGGGATTTTCAACAGGTTCTAATTTTACCAGCCTCGGTTTTTCTCCTGGTGTCGATGATTTCATCAACATCATTACTTTAGCGTGTGGCGGAATAGCAGCACGAGAACTGAATGAAGATCCACGACGATATACATCGCACGACCCAGCACTACTTTCCGCAGCTGAAATATCTGCTACGTTCGTGTAAAGAACGAATCAATTCACGAGGTTAGCAGTAAATTAACATCTGATAATCACATCGTGATCAAATAAAATAAACCCAAAAAGATGAAAAAAGTTTAACACATACAGGAATTGATGCTAGCCCCTTCATCGATAGTTTCGTAAACTCGACAGAGTGTCGTCTCATCACCATATACGTCTACATTAGCTTGATTTTGATCAAGATGCGATGTGCCCGTGGGATCTATTGTTTCATAAAGATAGTCTTCTTCCTCAAGTATTACACTCTCCAATTCGCCATCTAAGACTTCCTCTTCTCTGCTCACCTTTGACATAAATGCAGTAATATCACACCTCTAAAGCTAGGAAAATCTTGGAAAATCTTGAAAAATTGATAAAACTAATCTTTCAGAAGTCATATTAAGAACTACTAATCAACACTCCATCCTATCGTATCCAAATCTCAAGGTACCCATGCTTACTCTGCAGCACTCCAACTTCACATATACCGCCTGTCTTATAACAGTGCCTCTGCTATTACAAAAAATATACCTCATACTTGTACTTTAACAACAACAGTACCACACACGCCAGTATCAAGAGTGCTCCTACGCTCGCCAAATCAGCAAATGATGCAGCAGTGTTACCAAACCAAAGCACAACATCCTCTAAAGTTCGAACACAGCATCCTTAAACTTCGTTTCCGCATGTCATACAGCGGTTGAACCAAAATACCAGCATCATTACAGTCATTTTCTTGGTCTCAAGATGTCGTCGGTGGCTAAGATTGGCACTCGTGTGAGGAAGAAACCGGTTATCAAGATAATTTACAACCCCTTGTATAAAGCAGTCGTTAAGTAAGTATAGTGGCATCTGTATTTTTGTTTTGCGCATTATATTTTCGCAAGAAGTGTTTTATGATCAGTTCATGCTACAATAAATATTTTGAAGTTTTTCTACAACGTCACATTACATGCAGCATGTACATTATATTATTCAAAGTGTAAGCTTATTTGCCAATCTTTGAAAAAGGCTTTTTTTTAAACAGTGCTTCAGTCATTATTACAAAGCACTAAGTTACATATAAATTTGCCATTCAGTATGACTGTGATGTAAATTGACTACGTGGAAGTCACAGTTTTAGTCTGGTATTAAATGCGAAATACGCGGTTATGCGTACCTGTCAATATTTTTTGCCATTCAATACACTGAACATACTATTTCCTTGTACAATTAAGGGCACAAATGGCGACAGCAGCACCACCTTTGGGACCTAATTTGGGTAAAAGGGGCGTAAATGTCGCTAATTTTTGCAAAGATTTCAATCGAGCAACAAGTCATATTAAACCTGGTAATCATGAATACATCATTTTTATTGAACAACGCTATTAATAACCTGCCGTTCTTCTTAAGTTTTTGACTAATTAGTTGCAGTTCTAAATTTGTAGGTGGTTGGGTTGGCCTTTCGGAAGAATGGGATTTTCTACATATAACCTTTTTTTATTAGAATTGATTTGTTGACTGTACTAAGTATCACAAATAGGTGTCCCGTTGCCGGTGCGAATCACTATAAAACCAGATCGAACATATGACATGGAAATTTGTTCACCTACTTCAATGTGGTTGCTAATGCACGCGGCAGGAATAAGGCGTGGAGCGACACGTCCACGTAAGTGTTTAGTTGATGTAGCAAATCATACATTAGGAAAGTGCAGATTGTTGTCGTTCACAGCAATTACACCTTGTCTATCGTCTAATTGCTACTGTAAATGAATAATGCATGCACTTTGAAATTAACAGAGTTTTAAGAAAATGTATTTGTGTTGTGGCTAATAAGAAAGCTATAGTTAGTTCCACCTTTAGTTAGTTCATTGTAATCTCTGCTTTCAATTCTTGATTTTCTTTTTCGCCTGTATTTAGATATTTTTCAAAATAGTGTCCATCATAGTTCGTTGTGATGATAAAGTCTTAATAGTTGCAGATTTTCAGACGAAGAAGTTTCCGGAATGATTACAGTGAAGCATATTTATGAGATAGCGAAAATAAAAAGTAACGACAAGGCCTTAGTTGGTGTTCCGCTAAAGGTTTGTGTTTCAGAAGAACGGAGATACCAAAAATTTCCACCTAATTCCTTCAAAGTGGTATTAATATAACAATTCTTCTTTTTTGTCAGTTAAAAAAATTTATCATTATTTGATTAATTTCCTCTTTCATCTTACAGCTAATATGTGAGCAACTTATCAAAACGGCGCGTACGATTGGACTAAAAGTTTTCCGAGAAGATCTTGATCCGGTAAAATATCGTGAATTTCTGGAGAGGCGGAAGCAAGTAGTTGATGCAGAATTGAAGGCAATTGAGGACGAAAAAGCAGCTAAGATACTGAGGACGGTCCCTACAAATTCGTAAAATATGATTTTATTTCCATGTTGATGTAAAAATCTGACGTTGCGTGTTTGTTTTTAGTAACAGGAAGGCATCAGATTCAGAAAATAAAGAATAAAGGGCAATTTTTCACGTTCGGTAGTGCAACAGTTTTGTTGTTTTGTTTTTTTTGTCGCAGTCAAAATCACTGTAACTTCACGTATTTGCTACATTTAAGTCTGTTAAATACATTTGAATGACTTCTGTACAATGCTTAAAGAGGGCAAAAATAATCACAAATGACACTGCTTAAAATTCTAAAATTACTTCAGAAATTTCAACTAATATTTTGCAAATTGAAACAAATTTATATCTATGAAAATATGCAAAAAAGAGCAAGCATAGAGTTAGTTAGCAAAGTGTATATTATCGGGAATGATTGGTCAGTATATTTTGGTTGACGCATCTTAATTATTTGTGGCATTGTACTTGTTTAAAAATTGCAGTTGACTTCTGAGTTCTTGAAAGGGTTGTTTAAAAAACTGGACTCTCTGGTGCTTAATTTTTAGCACCGTTAATGATTAGCATGGAACTGGAATTGAGCACTTGACCTTTGATGTGTCACCCTATTTGTTGCTCTTATGATGTGTGCGTGCCTCCTTTTTTGCTTAATGTTATAATTTAGAATATTGTTGATGGTACTGTTCTCCTTCACTATAAAATTGAGCATATTTTTCCGCGACATTCCATATCTTTAAGCTTTTTGCATATTTTACAATGTGAACTCTAAAAGAGGCAAGGCACACATATACTCTCCTACTCTCATACATGCAGAGATGAATGGTCAGACATTTAGAGGCGGATACGAATATATATAAATGCATATGAAGATATATTTTATTGTAGTGTGTAAGGACGACTAGCTGGTGGGCAGTCGGTTGGGCCATTTTTTATGTCTGGTGTCTTAAGTTCATGAGTTCAATTATGTAGTCAATTAGCTCCTGAGTTCCATTTATCCATCGCTGCATGATGCATAATGCTGATTTTATTGATCCCTGTTGAACTCTGCTGTATTATTTCTGTATCTGACCATTACTTCATTTCATTTGCATACATGTAGGTAACATACGTACGTGTATTTCTACAGATATGAAATTATAGATGGTTATGAAATGGGTTATGTAGATTTTTTAATCTACAAATTTGAAGCAAGGGAAGAGCTTTCACCAAGAATGCACTAGTAATTTCGTTAGTTTTTTGCTCACGGAAATCGTTTTTTTCTCATTATGTGCATAAGATTTAGGTATTTATTTTTTAGGCAGTTGTTTTTAATTCAGTTTGTGTTATTACTTTGCAGTTAACACAGTGAGAAGTAGAAAATGTAAAGGCCAAAAATGGCTTCTTCATGGTAGAATATGACTACTTGCGAGAGTTATATTTTTCCGTGCAAGCTGTAAGTTCGGATTTGGTGGAAAGGTGGGAATGGCAAAAGAACGCTGAATATCAGTGTAAAATGTGCAAAAATTCAGAGAATAAATTGTTGAAGAAGTTTGTGTTTTGGTATTTCGTTTTTTTTTTTTTTTTTTTTT